CTATACGGATTTCCATAAATTATAAGAAAGATAGGATAATTTATTGTAACACAGCCGATAGAAAAATCGATAGCCCGTTTGACTTTCAAGTAGCAAGCAAGTAGAATATTCTATGCATCTATGTCAACGTACGGCCTTCCAATAGAGAATAGACAAAGCAGAGATAGATAAATCAGAGTAACTCAGACAGGACCTCTTTCTATAAACTCGACTATGAAATAAAAACGTAGAAAAAAAGAAAGAACATTTTTATAGTGTCAATTTTTCCTACGATTTTATTATTCATCATTACGATCTCATACAAATTTTATATCATATTATTATTATTATTATTATTAATTTTTTTTTATTATTATTTTATATTTAATTTTATATTTCATTTTATATTTCATTTTATATTTTATTTTTTTTTTTTACATTTTTCTTCCACTAATTATTATTATTATTATTATTATTATTTTTATTTTTATTATTATTATTATTCTTAAAAACCCCATAAATGAGATAAGTTTTCTATAAAATTTATCACCATGATTCAACAACCATCCTGATGTTTTGTTTCAATTTATATTTATAATTAGAAGAGAGAAAACAAAACAGAATTTATTTAATTTATATTTACATAAGTTATTTTTATTTGAATTATTTATTTAATAATATAATTATTTTATTGTAATTAATAAATAAATTATTTATATCTACTATTACCTATTATTTTTTTTTTTTTAATTTAATCGAAAAAATATTAGTGAATTTGATTTGAGAAAAAAGATTGTTTGTATGGTTAGGCTCAATATTTTTCAACCCACTCACATGAATAATATGCAGTCAAATTGTGAGTTGCATAATTGTACTGTAAAATTAGATAATAATCGAACACGTCTTACCAGTATAATGGTTGGAATGAAACTGATTAAAAAAATAAAAGAGAAGATCTCTGTCAAAGTCGTAAACAAACGATAAAATCTGTTTATGTTTTGCTTATCATTCGAATCTATATTTACATATGCTTATTATTTATTTTACATAGATCGGTTGAAAAGTTCTATGCCTATTATTCTGTAAAAGTTTCAAGACTTATATATATGTAATGTATTATGTATGTGTGTATGTATGAAAATTAAAAAATATTTAAAATATTATATTATAATATTATAATATTATAATATTTTAAATAAATAGTATAATAATAAATAATAAAATAATATATTAAAATATTTAATATTTAACACTAGATATACCAGACTAGTCATTTTGACTGGTCGGGACATTTTAATTCAAAATTTCTACTGCATGTAACATTTGATTTCTGTAAATAATTAAACGTTTTATTATTTAAAAATAACTATTATTCCATTTATCTATTAAAATTATTATTGTTAAACATTTTTTGTTATTTTTTAAGAATAAATGAAGACTGGAAACCTCGAAAAGCATTTTCTTGTATACACCAGTCATTTTGACCAGTGTGGTAGAAGTAGGTATACTGAAAATGGTGATATATATATCTAGTGTTAAATATTTAAAAATGTACTTTTTTTAATTATTTCTAAACTAAATTATAAATTAAATATTCGATTAAACTAACCAATTAAAAGAATAAAAAGAAATAAATGTATAATTAAAAGAACAAAAATTCTGTTTTGTTTTAAATCGTAAGATAAATATGATATAAATATGATTATAAAATCATCTAACACTTTTTAGTTTCAAATAACAATACTGATTCGTTATAGTAATCTAATATGAAAGTATAGAATAACGATTTACACACGTTGTAAGATTTTTATCAGTAATCATAAATACATCATTGAAAGATTGATTGGTAACCTCTAATTGTCTATTCTTTTATGAACTGAAAATTAATATTACAATTGATGGAAAAAATAAAATGTTATATATGATTTAATAGCGAACACTATCGACATCAACAATAATTATTCTATTCTTCGATACGAGAATGATCGTTTACAATCGTAAAATAAATTACAAATCTTTTTATTGGTTGAATTGAAGAACGTTATCTTTAAATACCTATATATACACATATATATATACACATACATATATATATATACACATACAAACGCATTGTCATCTACAAGCAACTACCCGTAATTTCCCGCTCATTATGTGGGCGTGTTGGAAGGTCGTATGTATTTCCATCGAAAAGAAGAAGAAGAAGAAGAAGAAGAAGAAGTAAGAGAAACTTTTTCGAATCTTTCAACGCCAAGATAATAAAATTATCATTTTATTTTTTTCATTTTTTTTTTCTATAATACCTAATCATAATTTTATCATCTCTCAAATTTCTATTTTAACACTAGGTATACCACCATTTTTAGTATACCTATTTCTATCATACTAGTCAAAATGACTGGTGTATAAAAAAATGCTTTTTAAGGCTTTCAGTCTTTATTTATTCTTAAAAAATAACAAAAAATGTTTAACAATAATAATTTTAAYAGRTAAATRRATTTATAGACATTTTTAAATAACAAAACGCTTAATTATTTACAGAAATCAAATGTTACATGAAGTAGAAATTTTGAATTAAAATGGCCCGACCACTCAAAATGACTGGTCTGGTATATCTAGTGTTAAAATAAACCTATAAAACTATTTTTTTTTAACACTCCAACTATTTTATTGCTATTTGGGATAGATTGAAAGATAAAAGATTAAAAAAAAAAGAAAAAAAGAATGAAAAAAATAATAGGAAACAAAAAGTATTCAAATTTTATGCATATCGATTCTAAATTTAAAAAGGAACTTTGAAAGTATGCTAATATGATGGAACGCCATTGTAGATAACGTTATTTTCATTGGGTTTATATGTATGTGAATACATACACACACACACACATATATATAAGTAAAAATATATAATACATATATTCCCTATACACCTATTTGATATTCAAAAAGTTAATACAAAAAATAAATAGAAACGAATATTGAACATAATGTTTAACCCATAGCGTTGCATATTTAAATACTGAAGTAAATAAATTAATGAAAAAAAAATGAAAAACTTAGCTGAACTCTTATGCAAATCGCGCTACAGTGGTAAAAAAAAAAAATCTAATAAAAAAATACATTTTAACAAATAAAAAAAAATATTACATAAAAAAAAATCAGTCTGTTGGACTTTCATACCCTTTATGAAGGTTTACAAAAATAAATGAGAACGAATATCAATATGTTATTTTCATCAATAAGATTTTATATTAAACGTTGAAATAAATAAACTAATAAAACAATAAATAAATAAAAAAGTATTCAAAGAAAAATAAAATGATTCGATTGAACTTTGATACCTTTGAAGTTGGCTATAGGAAAATGGCCATAGTAAGGGTCACCGTAATTCAACTTCCGACGAATGTGCAACGTACACGTTTTATTTAAAACGACATGTACGATTGTAAAAATCACTTCCATATAAATTCAAAAAAATATAAGAATAGTATAATATACAAAGAAACGCTAGCATATCGAATTAAATCGATTGAATTTAGAATCCATTAAACGTTTCGCATAAGAATTAAATAAATACGTATTTTCAATCAAATTTCTTCCTCTCGTATCATTTATTTATCTACCTATCCATCTTTTGTTATCTCATTCCAATCTTCATCTATTTATCTATGTATATATATATCGCGAATGAATACATAAAAATAAAAAAAATATAGAGACAAAACGTTTGATTGGCTAGACAAGACTGCATGCGGGGAAGAAAAAAAAAGAAAGAGATAGATAGATAATAAATGAACGGAGTACGAAATAACGGAAATATATTAAAAGGTGTATAATAAAAAAGACTTACATTTTTCCGCGATCCGCCATGGGGCCTGGTAAGGGATGAATGACGTTTTTCCAAGTTAACGAAACACGTCGTCGTCCTTTCTGGAAGTATATTCACTCCTCGCCCCGCGAGCTTTCAGGATGTCACACCTCTATTGCAACGGGCACCGCCATGCGCGAGGCTCCAAGGTGGGAGGGGAACGGAGCGTTAACACACCGGACGATAGACAATTAATCAAGTAGGAAACAATAATCGCGAATACGTATTTAATTGCATACGCGTGTAACTACGTATTATTCGTTTGATCAAAAAACACCGGCTAAACGGAGAGACAAAAAGTCTGACAGGTAAAACCGCGTGCGAGTTACACGGTGATACGAATCCACGTTATCTGTTTTTCTCCCTTCTTCTTTTCTATCTGTTTCTATCTCTTTCTATTTTCCTTTACGCGTATCGTGCGTTCTCACTCCCTCCTACTCTTCCTCGTTCTCCAATAACCCCTTCCTAACCTTCCGCGAACTACCACACACGAGACCGCGCGAACTTACACGAGTAGAACACTCTCCTCCTTCTATATTCCTTCTCCTCTCCCTTCTACCCCGTCACCTTTCCCCCTTCTTTTTCTTCTTATTTTTCTTCTTCTTCTTCTTCTTCTTCTTCAAGCGGTAACACACGATGATCTTAACAGGAACTTATGATTTAACAACTGATTACTTTGTTCACATTGATTCAAATGAAAATAATCATAAATACCTTTCACGGACACAATATATTTAATTATTATGTACGTTGGACGCGTGTCACGTTAACGAAATATCTTATTCGACTCGAAGAAAGCTAACGCTTCGCGACTCCCGGCCCAGGCTGTCATCGATCGTCCAGCCGAGCGTCAACTCAACTGTCGCCATCTACCGTCGAAACTCCGAAACCTCACTTCACTTCGATGTACTTTCATTCGATATGCCATATCGATAATATCATTTTTATTTGACAAGTATAATGTTTCAATTAAAAGAACTTTTCTTTTTCATTTCTTTTATTAATGATATTCAATTATTATCAAATTTATTGCATTTGTTTTGATATTCTATATCGATAATATCGTTTTCATTTAAATATTATTATTTTTAGATTTAATTAAGTTATTTTTGAATGTTTCTAGGGTTTCGTTTACTATATTATTATTATAGCATAAACTTAATTTTTTATTTATTTTTTCTAGTATAACTATAATTGCTTATTATTACTCAGATAAATTTGATACTACTTGTCTCTGATAGTTTTGTTGTACAAATGATTGTTGTAATGTACAGGTAGCAATTATATACAAACGTTTATATATTTTCTCTTGCATACAGAATATACACTTTTTATCCCATTCTAAGTAATTTAGATTCTTTAATCAATCTTCTTTGGTTCCTACGTTCTTCTACCTTTAATTCTCTCTCTTTTAAAAACTCTTCGTACTCTTTTGGATCTATTTCACGTACAATCTGAATACCAACAGTTCTTGCTATTCCAACGATCATTATACAAATCTGTTGTAAGCTCATTAACGCTAATGGTGGATCTTCTGATTTGATTTTAGCAATTTCATATAAATGTTTTAAAGTTATTTTGCCTGCTATATCACCTGTAACAAATAAATCAAGAATTATAGTAGGCAAACAGATAATATAATTTAGCTTTACCTTTAATGAATCATATTCTTTCTATGAACAACTTTATCATGCGAATACCAACATTAAGATTACATACCTTTTTCCATTTGACCTACTTGTACTCCTGCTGCTTGTTTTAAAAAATATGTAACTGGAGGTTTATGTATGACTAAATTGTAACTTCTATCAGGATTAACTTTAGCTCTACACGGTAAAGGTACTCCTTCTTTAATATGCTGCGTCCTTTCATTAAAATCTTTACAAAAGTTAGGTATATTGATATTTCTCTGAAAATATAAAATATATTATATTATTATAAAGCATTGACAAATTGAAGATGTATAATTAAAAAAGAAACAAATAAAGTTAACTAAATGTAACCTAACCTGTCCAAGCATAGGACCTAACGGTGGAGCAGCTTTTGCCATTCCTGCAGGTATATCCGTACGTAATTTTGAAGAATGATCTACTTTCTCTATTATTTTTTTAACCATTTTCATTTTCCCTGCTTTAGACATTTTGAATGATATTTAATAAGAACGAATATCAAATCTAAACTCAATACGGACTTCTTTTATTGATACACCTGCAGTCTGGCTTACCTACTGAATGACTCTGTTTTACCTTAGGACGATAAAGTTCTTTAAATGGAATGAAAAATATTTAATAGTTGGTAATATGCGATTTAAAAAAATATTAGTACATTTAATATAATTAATTTCTTATTTTATTCATTTAAAAACTCACGAAATATGTGTACCATGTTAAAATTAATTATAAAAAATAATTAAATATTATACTTATAATATAAACGTATTATTAGAAAAACAATGTATATAAGTGTTTTAGAAAATTATTATCGTATTATATACATAAAAATATAATGTATATTTATAAAAAAATATACATTTAACATAGAATATAAAGAGTTTAGCGCAGGCTTGTAAAGCCAATTGTTTTGTACGACGTAACTATGACTACACTTTATGGAATAGACGAGTAGTTTAGCACAAAGTTTTTTTTTTCTCGCGGAAGAAATAAAATTAAAAATAAACGATCGTTAGAGAAGTATTAAAAATATTCTATATTATTAATAAAATAAACGATGAACGACAAAGAAGATTGTGCGTGGGTCTTTGATTCTTTAGTTGGATTTTTGCAAGGTCCAATTTGGTCTGCGCCATTATTGACCTTTATAGAAGAAAAATCATTGAGTAGGTGTTAATTTATAATTATCTAATTAAGAAAGCAAACAACGAATAAAATTAAAAAGATAATTATCTTATTCTTATTCCCTAAAAAGTATAATTTTGTTCGTAAAAAAAAATAATAATAAAAAAATACTTGATTTTCATTGTTTGTATTCAACTATATATATGTCACTGCGCAAAATTACGAAATGATGCATTTTAATTTATAGTTTTCGAAGCAGACGATGAGGATAATAACGAAGAATATCATAAAATTTATCAAGAATACAAAAATTTGGTTGACCTTTTACTCGGATGTTTTATGGAAGACATGGGAATTACGCCGGAACAATTCGAACACGCGTGCAACATTAACAAAAATACAAAAATGTCGATACACTTTCAACAAGTTAGTAAAAAATAAAAAGAAACAAACAAAAACAAAGAAAGTCAAGAAATATGTAATCACGTAATATTCTTTTTTTTATTATTACATTTCAGAGTTTATTCGAACAAATATGGGCGGCGAACGAGTATGGGATATTTAAAAGAATGATGATACAAAAGAATTTGGAATTACAATTGCAGGCATTAAACATGATCGAACAAAAATTTGGCCTAACTCCGGCTTCTCTTATGTACGAAACGGAAGGTTTGCAGGACGAAGAATTGGTCATGGAGAAATTAATTAAGTAAGTTTGAAGTTCTTGAGTTAAAGATGTTTCTTCTCACTAAAAATAAAATTAAAAATAAAAATAAAAATAAAAATAAAAAAGAAAAGAGTTAACATGATATGATGTTTGCGTAGTAATCACATTATGGAGATAAACAATGATGAAGAAGCAATACCCATGGAAACTTCTCTCGTGGAAGAACGCAACCGTCTGGCTAAAGAGTATCATAACGAAAGAACATTAATGGAGGAAGCTTTGAGAGCAACAACACGATCATCTGAAAATTCTTCTCCTGAATTAGAGCCGAATATTTCGCGAAAAAAGATCGAAGTACAAATTGAAAAATTGGACAAATTGCCTCCGTTGAAAACATTTCAGCCGCTTGATCCGATACCTTCAACAAAAATTGAACGAGTTAAAAATAATGTATATATATATATATATATATATACATATATATTAAGGATTTATCGATATTGATGATACAAAAGTGAAAAGGAAATTATTTTATGTTGAAAAATAAATCGAAAGTGTGGAATAATATTTATTTGCAAGAAGTATTGTTTTTGAAAAAATCAAATTTAAAATAAGGAGTTGTATAAAAAAAAAAATATTATTTCACTTGTTCGATTTATTTTTGGTGTATAAAGTCATATTCTTCTTGTTTGTATATTATCAATATCGCACCCGGTATACGAAAGTGAGTTGAAAAGTTATGATAAAAATACTAACTTTTATTTATTATTATTATTATTATTATTATTATTATTATTATTATTATTAATTGTGATTATATTTATATTAATATAATATAATCGCTTTTATTTATTTAAAAGCAATTTTGATTGAAAATAAAAAACTTTCTATGTTAAACTCGAAACTTTTCAACTCGTCCATCTATGTACATATAAAAATTAATATTACATTAATATTTATATGTATATAAATGTATGCACATATTATATGTAAATGATATACCATAATTTGTTGTTGTAAATAAAAGTAATTTTATACTCGCTGAGATATGGAATAACTTGAAGATATTTTCAGACGAAAGAAGAGGATATAAAAAGACGACAGGACTATCTGAAAGCAAGACGAGACGAATTAGTAGCCCTAAAGAAAGAAGTACGTAGTCAGCGGCTCGAAATGAATTCAACTCGTCCGAGTTCTGCTCGAGTAGTTGCAGATGCAACGATTAAAGGTGAACAGGAATTAGACGTTGATCAGTCATTGGAACCGTCAATTCTTCAAGTACGTAAAGCTTTAGCGGCACGATTGAAGGCCGAAGTTGTGCATAAGTGAAGTGAATATTAATATTAATATTAATAATAATATATTTATCGTGACTATACGTATGTTATTTGCCGTAATCGTAATTAAATTAATAAATTAATACCCGAAAGAGGCAAACATTTTCGCCTCCTTTTTTTTTTTTTTTTTAAATTAATTCAAACTTTTTCTTATTGTTTTTGTTGACCTATAAGCTTTTTCATTTAAGAAATGAAAAAATATAATATAAAACGTAGATATTACGCAAACATTTTGTTTCAATATATTCGTATTATGAAAGGTTTTATTTGTATATAAATGGCTAACTTGTTTCAAATATAATATACTTGGATTGCTCATAAATTACATAAATACTATGCATACTACTTCATTGCTCTCAGTATCTCGTTCCCTTCTAACGATATAAATAATAAAAGAGAATACGATCGTGTGTGTCTCTCTCTTTCTCTCTCTCTCTCTCTCTTTCTCTCTTTCTTTCTTTTTTTTCTTGAAGAATAAAATTTATAATTATTGCCTACATGATCTTTGAATAATACGGTCGACGTTTTCTTGTTATCAGCAAGATTAATATTTACAGTGGTGTTATAAAATATGAGCAAAAAAGATGATGCGTGATTTTTTTTCTTTCTTTTTACTTTTTTTTTTTATACTAAAAGTGATGATAAATATATAAAAACCTATAAATTTTACGAGTGATTAGATAATAATAATATTACTAATAATAATAGTAATAGTAATAGTAATAGTAATAATAATAATAATAATAATAATAGTAGTAATTTGTTAACAAAAGACAGTGAAATATTGAATTCGCTGATTGAACCCGATTGGAAATAACAATTTTCGCGAGTAATGCTTTTCTTATCTCTTTTTGTTTTCAAGGTAGGGTCGTTAAACTCTGTCTAACAAACGTTTCATCTATAAATTTAAATTTTATTTAATTAAATATTGTTCGCATTTCTACACCAGACATATTTTGGGTTTCAGTCGTTCGTTTATTTTCACCCCTTTTTATACGTGATTAAATTAATTATTTAATAAAGACAGATTTTTGTAGCAATAAACAAGCAATAATTAATTTTAATGTGTAATCTTGTAATTATTATTATTATCATAACAATATGTACACATTAATTACACATATAACACAACGTAAATTAGATTTTTGACGTATATTGTCAATAATTAAAAATAAAAAAGAAAAAAACAAAAGAATCAAAAAATGTTACAAAAATAAGAACAGTGCTAAAATTAAATGCACATCACAGATTATGTAAAAAGCAACAATGTTGAAAATTACAATCTGATTAAACGTTAAAAATAAATTATTATAAATTCTTCTAAAAATTGATTAACATTTCTTTATTTAATGATTCATTAAATAAGATATATGTAAATTCGAATTAATCGACTTTTATAAGATACTCTCTTTTTCATTTGATAATTTAAATATATACCTGTTGTATTAGATTTGTTGTTTTTTTTTCTTTTTTAAATATAAGTTTGTCTTTTTTACAACGTTGCTTGTTATATGCTACTTATTCTGTTCGTGTAATTTTAATATTCGGCTTAGTTTAATTTAATCTCATCGCATCATTCATTCACCGACAGAATAAAATGCAAAATATGATCTTTCGTTTATAGTCCATTTTCACATATTTTATCGTCGTAAATACACATTCATTTTCTTTTATATAATCGTTCGTATTAGCTTACAGAATTCGTAAACAGAATTTTCTTATAAAAATCTTCTCTGTCTCTTTATTATATGTGTTTTATGTATGTATGTCTGTTCCGTGTAATTTTATTTTCTACTTTGCTACATGTTTTTTAGAGAGAGAAAAAAAATGAAAAATAAAAATGGTATATATGTCACATTTCGCTGGTATTTTAAATGTAAAACGTACGTCATTATCTTTAATATTTAATATCAATATTATTATTATTTTTATTATTATTATTATTATTATTAATATTATTATTATTATAATTATTATTAGCACGTGGTAATTGTACAATGTGCAAAATTTCCGTTCTTTGATAAATGTCACACCAATGTGATGATTTGTGTAATATTGAATACAACAATTTTGGTAACAAACTGCCAGATAATATATACTTTTTCTTTTTTTTCTTTTTTTCTTTCTTTTTTTTTTTAGATTTCTCGACTTTAAATGAAAATTTTCAAGAGTGCTCTCCTGAAAGGTGCTGCTTTTTTTTTCTTTCTTTTTTTCTTCACATATTTACAACTTAATTCTTCTAACGAATGTCTTGCGTAACGTTTTACGATATGATTAAAATTTGGTGACTTTTTTTCATAGATCACGATCTACGAATATTTTCTTGTTTTTTTTTTTGTTCATGTATTTCTTCCTTTCTTTCTTTTTTTTTTATCTTTTTTTTTTTTTTAATTTTATTATTAATTCTTTAGTTTTATTTTTATCTTCGTTCTCTTTGAAATAAATGAATTAACGTATGATGAAATAAGAAATAAAATAATATTAGAACTTAAGACGGTCTAACGATAATTTCTTCCTAAAAAAAATGTATAGGAATTTGACAACTTCCTTTATTTCCCTTTTGCTCTTCTTTTCTATTCATTGCGTATCTTTCTATAAATATATATACGTATATATATATATATACTCTCAATTAAGATTACTCTTAAAGAGTATAGTAGAATATAGAAGAAAAGAAAAATGTATATGAAACTATATTAAGTAGAAACATTATGCTATTAATGCATAATATATTTCGACTGTTCATGATGTGGAAGCATATTAAAAAAATAATGGAAAATGATAGCGACAAAGCCTTAAACACACTCTGTACAAAAATACATTGAGTATAATTTAAATAGCATATGATTGCATCTTTACTTTAGTATCACTTAGGTATTAAATTTATCCGTTTATTAATTTACTTACATTCGCCGCACCCAAATGTAGCATATTCTATGCCTCTAAGAATATTCTCTTCCTTATTTACGGAATAAATTGTGAATATATGCAAAACACACGGAAATACATTACTCAATATTCTGTTGTTATCTTAACTATCTAATTAATATATGTATTTTCAGTTACATTACTTTATTTTCTGTGGTCATTTCAGAATTAACAACATTTTATATATATACACACATTTTACTCAGCTCCAGCAAATTTGCCTACTTGAATTATTATTCACAATATACTAATCTCGATGAACGAATTAACTTCGCTATCACCTTCCTTTTGTAGTATCATAAGTTAATATATGCGCCTGTCGGTTAAAGTTTGTCAATTATATATGTGCATATGTATATGCTCTTACGACATCACAAAAATTTCAAACATTCATACTTACAATTATACAACAGTCTTGGAAATTCATTTATGTTAGACGTATTGAAAACTCTGTACATTAGCTTATAATACTCTTCGTTTGTTTGTTTTTCTTTTCTTTTTTTATTTTTCTCTTTTTTATAAAGTCAACTCAATCGGTAAGGCAATAATTTATTTTCAAATTGGTCACTGTATATAAGGCCTGCTCTAGTTTAAATGATTTTAGTTCAAAAGTAATAGATTCATCTTCGCTATAGATCTTAACTATGTTTTAAAAATTACGGATTTAAACTAGAAAAGTAGACACTCTTTTCTGGAGCTGGCGTTTTTCCTGTTATATTCTCATGATCGTACAGAATCTCAATTTTAATGACAAATTAAGATTTACGCATTGCTGTATCCGAGATTATTCTCATCATCTCACGGCTCTACTACATAACGTAATATAAGTAGATATGAATATTTTTTTTTTTTTTATAAATTAGACATTCTTTCTTTCTTGTTCTTTTTTTTTGTTTTTTTTTTTATCTCAGTGCACAAAGATTATTCCAGGCTTCTCATTTTGCCCTTGTCATTAGAAAAGAAAAAAAAGATTTATTGTTTTTTTTTGTGTGTGTACAAAAGATACTATACTAGACTTCTTAATTATATATCCAAGATTTTGTTAAATATTTCAACTTCTTTTTTTTTTTTATATCGAGGATTACTATACGGGCATGAAGTGCAAACTGATAAATATACACAAATCAAATATTTATTGTACAACTTCTACTACTTACATTGATAACCGAAAATGTCTTCAAATGTATCTTGAAGGAAACTGAGATTGTGAAGTAGTCGCATATTTTCTGCTTAATCCAAGTATGTGGTCGTTTTACAATCGTTACAAATATACATATATATACAAACTAAATATTATTTCCGTAGTTGGATAAAGATTCGTAGCTTCCTGACCCTAGCAAAAACAGATTTCAATCTCTCGTACCACTAATTTTAATTCGTGGATGGCAAAGACACAAACTGTTTTTGTGCGGTTTGTAGATCATGTACTTAAACATCCGAAAATGGTTCTTTACACGACTTGTAGTAAGTTCCTGTTTTTCAATGAACTCGTACATCTCAATATTATAGTCACAGTTTATAGATTTTTATTAATCTCGACTCAAGTGTATTATTTAGACACCAATGTCTAGAAAACTCACGAGGTTGAGAATATTTCATTTTATCATCTGAGAAAATGTTTCCCTACTTAGCAGATTTTCATTTAATTGGAATAATAAATCATCATTAATCCATTTTAAAATTCAGTTAAATCAATGAGTGAGCGCTACCGATATTTTCGGCAATATAAATAATACAATTATTTTTTAGTTTTACCTTCACTTTCTTGTCCTGTTAATCCTGTCGTCCAATACGTTTATCCCTTTATTTAATTATTTCTTTTTTATTATTATTATTATTTTTGTTTCTACATTATTTTCCAATCACTGTCTTCTCACACATTCATCTCTTTGTTTAATATACACAATTAAAGAAAGAAAAAAAATATGTAAAAGTTCATCACGCGTTGTATATTTTAACAAAGCACTTATTCATTGCGTCTATCACTCAGATCAGCGAATAAAGTACAACCAGTACTCTTTTCTTACTGTAAATTAATAGATTGTATAACCTTTTCGATCAGCTTTTTGTGCACATAATGAGGGCCATATTTGACTATAAACTTTGGAAATCGCACATTCTTTTAATATATTCCCAGTACATCTACCACGACAACCGTTGTCGTTTTGGGGATGGACTTAATCCAGAATCCTCATCTTCTTCGTCAGAATCTTCTTCATAATCGACCAATCCCTACAAATCGTTTATTGTTAATAAATATATATTATTTCGCGTTTAATCATTTAAAACAATATTAAATTACCTTTCTAATAATAATTCCTGCCTTTTCTACAGTACCGATGGTAGAACTAGGAGTAATCTCAGGTGTAACTGGAGTTTCATTCGTTGTTGATGTACTGTTATTTACTGGAGTTTGCTGAGGAGTTATATTATTATTTGCTGTATTATTATTTAACACAGATTGTTGTTGCTGTTGTTGTTGATGATTTTTCGATTCTGCAAGGGAAGACCCGAGGGCAGAATTAGAAGATGAAGATTGTTTCTTAGCTGAAGCAGGTGGTACCAAATCTGCAGTAGCTGCAGGTACCACTGCTTCTCCCTCGTCAAAATCTTCTTCTTCTCTAAACCACATTTCTTCTTCTTCATCCAACTGTCTCTGATCTCTTCGATATCGGCTGTTTCTTAATATTGATGGAACGCTAAATGAATAAGTAAACAGGGGCATCATTAAAATTTTCGTTTTCTTTAAAAATGAAAATACTGCATAAATAAAATAAAAATAATAAAGATTTCATTCCAGCGTTGTAGAAAAATAATAATACAACAATACAAGAGTTTATACCATGTTAGGAAGCAATGAATATTTAATCCCCAAGCAAGTTCTTGTAAAATAAAATATATTGCACCTTGAATACATGTACCTGTCGACCGTTGTTCTGCTACCTTCGTGTTCCTTTATGACTTTAGTATCCTGTTGTTGATCATACTTCAATTTCAATACTTTAAACGTTTGTACATAGTCAATTGCATCTAGTTCTTTAGAAAACTTTTCTACAACGTGCATACAAAGCGATTTGATGTCTTCCTATAATATGCAAAAAATATATGTATATATACACATATATGTTTATGTATATTAAATATAAAATAATTACACAAAAAATATTGAAAGAAAAATGAAAAAAAAAAGTTAAATGTTATAATATAGTTACAACTTACCAACTTAATAAATTCAAACATTTCCAAGATAGCAGAATCTAATAAATTGTATCTACCGTTATTCCTTACAAATGCATCAAATACAGGTGCAAATAAATTTCCTTTTACTATATACCTATTATAAAACTCATCTTTCAAAGCTATAATTTTTCTCATAAACCTTAATGCGCACAATACTAAAAATGTATGCGTTGACTTCATTAAAACCAAAATTTTTCTAAGTAAATCCTTATTTAAAATGCAATTTTTAATGTGGTATGTATGATGTTCTACACAAAATGATAATAACTCTAATATCAGGCCTAAAAGTTGCACTGTTCTGTAATCTTCTCTTGCCGGTCTTTCGCCAATTGTATTAGCTAATAAAGGAGCTATCAGTGTTCCAATACTATTTTTATAGAAATAATTCAAGAAATCAGTCTTTTCTGATTTGTTGACTGAAGCCAACATATTTTCTGGATCAAGAAGCAGACGTAAGACACCAGCTAACTGTACTGCTCCACCCAATTCAGGATCGCTATCTCCGACTAGTTGAGCGACTATTACATTGACTAACATTTGGTCCTGATCAGTATTATTTATCTGCTGCAATGTATAGTCTCTAACAACACTAGGGGAATATTCAACGATATACGTTAATATGTCAATGCTCGCAGTTTTTGTTTGCGGATCATTTATTGCCAAAGTTATTTCCAAGGCAGGTAATATACCCAGTGCTGTTAAATTTTTATAAAATGATTCCTTGCCTTGTGGTTGAAGATTTTGAGAAAAATTGCAAAATTCTTTTAAGAAAAGTACCATATCACGTCTCTTATTGTCCGATGTGGATTCATCCGTAAACTGACGAAATAATTCGGTAAGAAATTTTTCATCGTCTTGTATGAGAGTTACTATTTCAACTTTGTTAAAAAATATAAAACTACTCAATGTACTAAGCATGTTGTCTTCGAATACACTAGGAGTAGGTAAAACAACATCTTGTATATATTGAACTCTATACGTTTGATGAATTTTAGCTAATAATTCAGCATTTGTTATTGGAATTGCTTGTTTAAATCTTGCTAATTGTCGAAGATATTCTCTATGTCTTTTTGGTTGAGGCAATGTTGGTTCGTACTCTAGACATCCAACGACATCAAAAATTGTATCGTCGCTGAACATCACTTCGAACAATGCATTCTTGTTAAGTAAGAAAATATTTTTAAATATATCATAAAGATGATGTAATCCTTCGATATTTTCTAAATCCTCGCAAGTGTGGAACAAATTTAAAAGTTTCTTGATGTACGCTTCGGATTCCAATGCCACCGCAAGTTTTTCTTTTCTCATGGGAGAAGCCAAACAATTTCCTATTAATTCATTAATGTCTTCTAATCGACTTAATTCGCATGGAGGCAATTCTATAGGTGGGGCAGCATCTGACATATCATCGAAGCGTTCATCTTCAGATTCCTCGACAATATCTTGAGTTATTTCCACAGATGGATCTTTGCCTTGAACTTGACAGATTTTTTCCCATATTTCATCACAACCAGCCTTTTCTTGAAAACTTAAGGCCAAGTCAAAATTATCACCCTCCGACCATACTATTAAGGTATCCTGAAATCATACAAGTATAAATATTTATCTCATTTTCCTTATAATAATATTACATGGAATTCAAAATAATTAATATGTTTCTTCAAATTTGATAAATTCACCAAAAAGTGCATATAAATGTAAAAATCGTGTAAAAAAAAATTAATTATAAAAAAAAACATATGGTATTGCAACTGCTTTAATAAAAATAAAAAACAAACAACATATATATACATATGTACACACACACACACACACACACACACACACACACACACACACACATCAATGAAATAATATTTATTACAATAAATTGTACGTACAAATTAAAAAAGTGTAAATGTGTTAGAAGTATAAAATGTAAGGTTATAAAATTGAATGAATAAATAATTACTTGCTGCTTCTGATATGCCGTATCTGGATGTATTTTACTTTCTAACAAGACAGTTCCATCACTTTCGGCTCTAACCAAAAGTGATATTCCTTTTAATCTATCTACATAGGAAGAAGAAACATGACCCGTTCCACGATCATCCCATTGTCTGTCGGCATTAAGCGCATAAAGCTTAACTCTTCTGCGTGTATCCGTCATGTTTTCAAAAATATCTTGCGTAGTTGCTGCTACCTTTTTTATTATTATTATTAAATGTATTATCACCAACCAGCTCGCATGCCTTAGAAGTTGAATATTAATTCTTTAGACTCTTCCTTTTCTCTCTATCTACCCTTCCAAAATTTTCAATTAAATAATAAATGCACACACAAAAATTCCTCTATCTACCAAACTTTCATTAGTTCTCTCATAATCCACTAAGATATAGCACAATGCCGTTGTTGTACTTGTTGTTGATGTTGATGTTGTTGTTGTTGTTGTTGTAATTGCAATAACAGTAGTAGCAGCAGCAGAGTCAGAAGTCTTAACTTATTAAAAAAAAGTTTTTCTGAATAACCACTCATTCATCTAAATTCAATGATTTCCTTAGTCAGTCTCGAAGAAACTACAATATTAGAAGGAGTGAGTATAAAATACTCATATATCACCATGAGTGTATCTATGTATATGCACTTGAATTGGTATTAATAATAAATAACAATTGTTTAGGTATATCCAAAATGACGAATTAATCCTCTTGGTGTCTCTCTGCACAAATAATAGATGAAGAATAGCTATTTCATTGATAGATTTAAACGAAGACGACGACGATGATAACGACGATATTAATAAACGTCAAATCTGTCGATATTATTAGAGAAATGAAATTCGACGTATGGAAGTACCTTTTATTTCGACGTATATGCTCGAAACAATGAGATTGTTTACCGTTGTTGGATGTTTATAAGCTCGTCAGTTGCATAAGCTTGATACCTGCGCCAACAGTAAAGCTTTTGGGACGCGCGGGAAAAGTTAGCGTAGTACACGCTCTTCCGTGCACGTGTCACAGTCACGTAAACCTACAAAGTGTCAAGCCTATTTCGAATAGTTCATTGAAATAAGCTCGTAGTCGTGAAAGGTCGGAAGGTAACGTTCTGCTAAAAAAGCCGAAGCCCTGTGTGCGCTCTTGCCGCCTGTGTATGATTCCCGCGGCGAGGAAAACCGATGTAGAACAACACCCTCCTCACTTACAACCTAAATATTACCAATCACACGATTATCTAACACGAATACTTTCAACGCTGTAACTACGGATCATCGCCGTGCTTTCGTATTATTACTCCGAAATCACTCTAAAATTGACATAGACATCTAACAGCCACAACACTACGTTCCGCCATGTTAGATCACAACAACGCGCCACGGGGTTCACTCCACGTATTCCAAAGACTTTCGCGCCAAATACAATTCTATTTGACATGTTATCTCTATTTATTTCGAATTACAATTTTGTAAAATTCACTTAAATGATAAATTTATAGATATTTATTTTGATCATTGTTTAGATATCGTTTCGAAGAAATTATTTATTTTGAAATACTCATTGTTTAGTTTAATTTAAGAGATATATACATGAATTTCTAAATCTTCTAGATATACCATTTCATTTCATCGAATAATCAGTAGAAAGATTTGAAACTGCTATTCTCTGTCGAAATTTCAATTTATTTTTATCAAAATATGTCATTCATTTCGTATATTCGTTTAATATGTATTATTCGCTTTATGTAATCATCAGATATGATGTTTAAGATATGTTTTTAAACAATACATTATAAACACATTATTTTTGTTAAGTGATAAATATTGATGACGTTTCCATGTATACATTAATCATTCAATAACTGTAATTTTCTTAAAAAGAAGAAATTCTAATATATTTAACTGATTTACATACAAATATGACAATATTTTTATACTTATACAAAATTACAATTAGCATGTAACAATATATTATTTATATTATATAAAAATATGCATATATATATATATATATATATATTTCTATGAAGGAAATTAAATTCGTAAATAATTTTTTTTTACGTTTGAATAAATCAATAATGTAGATATGTTAAATTGATTAATTTACTTATTTCATGTATTATTTTTACTATAAATTACGTTTTCCATGATAATTATGCTACTTCATAGATGTAATAGTCTGGCATCTTATTTACATGTAAATTCATTAAGTATTATTTATTACCAAATAAAAAAATTAATATTCTTGTAGTTTGTTAAAAAACAATTCTGCTCTGTTTCAAGATCATTTTTGATGTTCGTATATACAAATAAATGTTTAATATTTAAGCACATAAAAAATAGGTTATAATCGTTATCGTAGCATATTTCTGGATCAATAAAGTTCAATGTACACCCATCAGCTATAGGATTTTTGTTATTTAATCTTCTTTTTTATATTTTCATTAATATAATCATGAAAATCATATGGTAGTATGCAATAGTATATGAAATATATTTTTGAAATAAAAATATATTTTTATATTATCACCTTAATATCCAAATGATGTTCACATTAATTACAAATACATGTATACACACATATCTCATACAAAGGTAATAACAATTTCGATTAAAATCGTTATCTCCATTTTATATATATATATATACAATATTTAATTTATGGTAAATAAATATATATTTATACAGAGTATCCTATAATTGGTGGTATAAGCAAGCAGATTATGATTCTACATGAAAAATTAAATAATCAAGAACAAAATGTTTATACGAGGTTTTGCTTTTTTAAAAAATAAGTTTAACTGAAACGTGTGTACTTGACTTAGTTTTAGCTCGACGAGCATTATCTCGTTGCCAACTCAGTCGAGTGCATGTATACTCGAAAAATTTTCAAACTTATTTTTCTCAAAAAAGAATATATATATATATATAATCTTATATAAACAAATTTTATTCTACATTTTCGTCTAAATTTTTCATATTGAATTACCTTCTGCTCGCTTTTATCATCAATTAAAGGACACCTTGTACATATATATATATATTATAAAGATAAATCCATAACACAATTAGTTTTATATTTTGATATATTGATTATTACTTATTGTTAACCTATAGTTGCTAAAGTAACGTACAGTAATACTTTTAATGTATTCATGACAATTAGTAGAACAAAAAATTCTAAAAAAATATCATAATCCGTTATACAATAAATTTAATTATAATGTCACATTGTACAAATATTAGATCATTTATGTGTTAGATTTAATAAAGAAATAATGTGCTAAACGTCGTTTAGGCAGACACATTGATATTTATAGTAATATTAATTTTTTTACATATATTTACATGTATCGATTAGAAATTGTTAAAATAGTTGAATTAATAGGACAACGTATATCTCCAAATAATGCATTAAGTTTACGATATGAATTTACATTGGATAGAATGGTAATAAAAAAAATTAATTATTGTTAATAGTTTGATCAGTATTTGTCCAATTTCATTACAAACGTATGTTAAATAAAATTAAGTAAATTATTAGAATTCTGTTGCAGTGATCACTTCTGTACATTTTTATTATATTAGTATATGTATGGTGTAAATATGTAATCCTAACAATGTAACATAGAAAATATATATAAAAAAAAGTTTATTCCAAAAGAAAATTAGATGATCACTGCATATAATATATTTATATATGTATGTATATATATATATATATATTTATATTAATATTCAAGAACATGTTAACTGAATTTAATTTATACATCATCGTTTCTTCAAAAGGAATCGCAAAATTATAAAATCTTTTCTAAAATTATTTACCCACTGTTAATAATTTATTTCTTAGTTGCAGTCTATATTCGTTCAACAGATTTCCTTTGATCGCTGATCATATCTGTAATTGAGAACGGACATTAATGAAAAAAACTAATTTATTAAATAACTTAAAAACTACTCATTCTGTTGAGGTCGGAGCTAAAAATTTCTGTAGCCTACGTCTCCTTAACATTTCTTGATCGCTCGTTGGTTCTGTTTCATTTTTTGATGATGATTCTGAAGCTATTTCATTATTACTTGTGCATGATGGACTAACAACATTACTTTCGTTAACTTTATTTGAAACAGAAGCAGAATCTGTATCTTTTGCAGCACGATAACTTTCGCCTTCGCTTGTACTAGCCAGGCATGTATCTTTTTCTTGCTTTTTAGCCGTATCTTTTGGTACATCTTTATTTTCTTCTGGTGCTGATGTTGTTGCTGTAGTTTGAGCTGAAGCTGAAGGAGCTGAAGTTGGAACTGTAGGCTTAGGTATGCTGTAATAAATAAAATTATCAATAATAATGATAAAGAATGAATTATTCGTATCTAATTGGTAAATGATAATAGACACAATTTATTAATATATTTATTATATTTTTACTGACTTAGCAGTAGCAGCTGCTGCTTGATATTGATTCATCATAGCATTAGCAGCATCTAATAACAGCTGTACTCTCTGTAATGTTTGTATTCTTGCTTCTACCGCTTGTCGTAAATTACCCTCCATTGCTCTGAGTTCATCTTCTGTAAGTTCCGTTAAATTAGGTGGAGGTGTAGGAATAGGTGGTAATGGTACCATAGGAGGAAATGGAGGAGCAAAAATTGGTACACTTCCTGTTGGTAAATTTGGGAATGGTGCCAAAGGAACAGTTCCAGCATTATTTTGACCTTGTGGTTGTGGCATCACACCTGGAGCTTGTAATCCAGCCCAAAAACCTGGTAATTGGAAGCCCTGACCTGTATATAAGTAACATTCTAAATATTATTACAATTTTATTTATATTTTAAAAATAAATGTAGTATAATACCTTGTGGATTTAAGACTGGCGCTGGTGGAGGTTGGGGTGCTTGTTGATTTTGCTGTGGATTCTGTTGTCTTGTACCTGTATTATTTGTGGTTGGTCTCAAAATATTTAAACGACACGTCGGACAAGTTTGTTGACGTTGAAACCAAGAACGAAGGCACGCAGTATGAAAAATATGATTACATGGCAACTTTTTACTTGCCGATACCATTTCTTCTCTGCCAATGACATTATATATATATTTACTTATAACGAAATAAATTATTAAAGAATATAAAAATGACAACGCAATATTAACTTACCGACATATTATGCATACATTATCAGCAGCTGCTAACTCTTCTGGCGTTGCATCCGGATAAAGTGTATTCATGTTTCTAATAGCTCTGCGAGACATTACAATATCATGGAATGCCTTTTTGAAATCTCGCATTGTATAGTACATAGGACGAAGTGCGAATAAGGGTAGAGTAAACAGTTTAATCATTAAACTTACAAAAGCAACATATAGGGCGACCTAAAAATAATCAAATCATACAAAATTATTATACATAACAAAAAATGTAAATACGAGAGTCTAAATTTGATTATACCTTTAATAAACCGATAACCAAATCTGTATATAAAAGAAATACTGGCTTATTATCCCATGGATTTTCACTTTGTAAATCTATTGTGTGTAATACATATTTCACCGTAATATTTATTACAACAGTCAACAAAATTGCGTATTCGAATCCAAAGACAAGTTGTACAGAAGGACCTTTAGTTGCAGTAGTATTATATGCATAATGAATCATAGTTAAATTAATAATAAATAGAAGTCCTAATAATGTAACGACTCTAAGATGAAACAGCCATGTTATCACTGGACTTCTTTCCATCTATAAATAACAAAGAAAGATAAATCCTTGATTGTATGCTAACAATAAGATAAATAATTAGTATTACGAAATATTAAAGATAGTAATAAAATAAAACACTTACATAATCGACACGATCTTCGGCTAACCAGTGAAATGATTTAAGGAACAATAAAAGTGTAAATAATGCTATAAATTTAGGACTGAAATCGTCTCTAAACACTGTAAAAGCTAAACAAGTCTCTGTTACTGCATACCATACTTTTTCAACCAAATGCTAGAAACATGGTTAACTGGTTAATACTATATTTTATAAAAATGATAATATACACATAAGAAAATACAAAATAATATAAATTGTATCTCATATTTACCTCGAGTTCAGCAGCACGCAAAGTACCAAAAAATAACTTTCTAAGGAATGCATTTATCATGAAAACAAGTATTAAAGTTTGAGCATAGATTACCTAAAGAAAAATCACAACAAATTAAGAACATACAAATATTATTAAAAATTAATGAACTATTGACAATAATACTTACGGTCATGCTCGGATTTGATTTGGTTATGTGGACTACCGTCGGATAAAATTGTTTTCTTTGATAATAGGCATTGCCAATTACGGCGCACGTTAATGCTGCACTTATTAACATTATCCCTGCTTCTCTCATTTTTATAACCGTAATATATTTTCAGCCTTAGGGCTACGTTTTTATAAGGGAGGAAAAAAAAATATATGTATATATATATATACGTAAAACAGATACAATGACACTTAGCACTAAAAATTTACGTTTCAATCAGTTTCGACAGCTGTCTTCTACCCTATCAAGGGCGCTGCTATCAAAACGGTCTTACTGTCAACTATTTTATATCACGTTTACTTACAATCAACTTTTATCGAGGACTTTTATTTATTTATTAAAATACTTCCATTTAGCGATTAATATTAAATATTTGTTCAAATATTGCAAAGAAATTATTTAAATGCAATTATATGTCACAAATATTATATATAGAACACAATTAATATCGAAAAGTAACAATTCATTTTTAAACGTTTTCTTACTGATAATACATTAAATGTTTAGACAAACGGCGCGATGTGATTGGTCGTTTGCATGATACGTTCCATACGTTAATATAACACGTGGATCTTTCTCATTTAGTTCATACATTTTAAATAATGTTTATGTTATGTATATACATCAAGTTTGTAATTTATAATTATAAACAAACACACAAATATATATATATATATATATATATATGCACACATATTTTTAGATTATTTTTCTATATTATATCAATTTATTAATATATGTCAGAAATATCTTGATATACAAAATAGTAAACAAAAATAGGGATATAAAAGTACAATATTATACAAAATAATTTGATTTAAATAAATAAAATAAGACTAAATATTTTCTTGAAAAACAAATGATTTAGGCTTATATATTATGTTTACATTTATGCGTACAGTCATTAGAAAACATATGTTTATATGTATACATATATATATATATATATATTTTATATATATATATAATATATATATATATATTATATTATATTTATAATAATAGACTGTGTAAAATACATCTATTTTGAACTTCTGTTATTCTGTTATCATAATAATAACTTCACAGTATAATAGCATTTGTAATAGATGACTAGGTTTTTAGAAATTTTCAAAATAAAAATATTTGAAAATAATTCTAAATACAAAGCTTTATCGATGTAATCTTACACATACTTTTATGGCCACATATTGGAAGTATTTCTTATTATAATATTATTCTAAAATTTTAATATTTAATGATCATTCATTAAATGTTTAGCTTTTGAAATACGCTTAGGACTTTGATATTTGGATACTTCTAAATGTGCTATAGCTTTTAATGGTGTTCTACGCGTATCGACTGGTGGACGTCTCATAAGAGATTTTGAACTTTTAGGTGTCTTCATGGCTAATGGTCTTTTGATGCGTGGTGTTTTACACATTTCGTTTTCAGATTTATAAATATTCACATTTGATTCTACAGTGTCTACTTTATTCGTAGATACATTTTTTAATATAGATGGAGTTCTTACGACCATGTTTTCTTTTTGCGGACTACGTTTTCTACTTTCTCTATTATTCTGTTCGTTTGAATAATAAGATTTCTGTATTCTTGGTAGATTACTATTACTACCTTTTTCCGATAGATTTTGTTTATATTTGTCCGAATATCTTCTACCGTTATGATGCTGCTTTTCAAAATCTTCTTTTATTTCTAACGATATATCAACTAAATTATTTTTATTTCTTAACGATATTTTTGGCGATTGGATTTGAGTCAAATCTTTATTTCTTGTATATCTTTCACACCTTCTCGAATTATTACGTTTAATATCCAAATCGCAATACGATTTATCTAGATTCAAAGTATTATCTATCTTTTCGCTTGTAGATTCTTCCTTTATTAATTCTTTCCTACTACCATTTACTGTATAACATCCTTTTTGATTTTGACTATTGTCGGACAAAGAAGTAGACACCTTTATTGTATTTTCATCGAATAGTTTTGCTTTAGCTAAGACCATGCCAGCATTTTGAGTTCTAAGTTTAGCGACAGATGCTCGACCTGTTTGAGGAACCGGTGTATGTAATTGAGGAGTAGTAGATTTGAAATAATCATCCGCATCTTTCCAAGATATCGATGTCTCTTTCCAATTTTGAGGGATGTTATTATGTTTATCTTGATAATCGTTATTTAGAATAACATTTTGTTGGCTATTGGATTTCTTCAGTTCTTTAATTTTACGATTAAAGTAAAATGAATTATCTATAAATTCATTGCCATGAAAAGATGATGCTCTACGAACGGATAATTTTAATGGACTTTGTCTAGGAGTATGCACACCGATGTCATTAATACTCGATTCTGCGTCAATTAACGAATCTCTTGTATGTTTTATTGTATGAGACATTAAAGTATTTAACTGTTTTTGTAATAAATCCAATCTTGTATTAGTTTCCGAACTACACAACGATTCATTTCTCAAATTCGATACTTGTTTCGTTAGTTTATCTAAATTTGGTTCTTCATTTGTGAAATAAACTATTTCTTGATCGTTGGACTGATTTCTATATTTGTTTTGCCAATCTTGAGATCCATGCCATGAATCTGTACGATTAACAGATTTGCTGTAAATTAAAAAATAGTATTTAATGTTTTGCTATTAATTATTTATATATATAAATAATATACTGTGTATCATAATTACCTTTTAATTTTTTCTTGAGATCGTCTTCGTAAAATTCCTATTTTTCGAGCACTGGGTGATCTTATAACTTTACCTTCACTCGATTTTCTGATTTTTAACTCCTTACCAAGTTTTCTTGCCAAATGATCGGCTGTTATAATATTTTTAATACCTGCTTCCTCTAAAGTTTTTTCATACTCCGTTTGTACTTTATTTACAGAATGTTCTACCAAACTTTCATTCCTTACATCATCGATATATCCAAATTCTTGCGAGATACGAGATTCAATGGCAGAAACTCGATTTTTTATTTCCTCGTATTCGCTCTTTGGTATTCTTACATATTCTTCACAATCATTTTTTGGCAAAGTTTCTATAGATGCCCCTGAATTTTTCTTCGTATATTTCAATTTATCTGTATTTTTATTAAATTTCTGCCAGTGACTAATATCACCATTATTATCGGCTTCCTTATTTAACAATACTTGTTCGTTATTATAATCTGATAAATTGATATCAGCGTCAACAAATATATCACTACAATTGCTATCATGTTTAGAATTCGAAGTTTCTGTTTCTTTTAACACTGATTTTCTTAAATGCAACGAACCATCGCTATTTGTTCTACGTTTTTCATACGACACAGAAGAATCTTGCGCTAAACTCCATCGTCTATCAGTATATGGATTGTATGTTAGTATATTTGACGTTGAATTTACCTTCTTAAACAAATTAAATAAAATAATTTAATTAAAACATGATGATATATAAAAAAACTGTAGACATAGTTTATTAAATATATATACTTACTTGTTTATTTTTTGATACAAACCGATCTATATTTAAACCAGTTTTTTTAGATTTTTCCATTTTATCGCTAACTCTCCTAAAATATAACATCATACAATGTATTAACTTGTTATTTACCATCCAAAAATTGTTTATATATTATTATTTTTCATACATACTTTTTCTTAGTACTTTGAGGGTCTAGCCATTCAATAACTTTTCGTTTTTTCGTAGATTTAGTAGATGATGTACAGGTCGTATTTGAATTTGTAACAGAATCTTGATTCTCGTTTACTTCTGCATTCACAGGTGAATTATTTTTCCCAACGATCTTCTTTAAACCGTGGAGCATTCCTATAAAATATGTAATAAGAAATGATATTACACAATATAAATGAAAACAATATTTGTTTTTCTACTATGTACAATTCAATTCATAATTGTGTTAGTAAGGATTCAAAGAAAAATATATATTAGTATTTCAATACACACATTTACAAGATCAAATAAGTAAAGAATTTTAGTTGCAACATAAGAGGAGGGTTAGTATTGTTAATTGAAAAGATAAATAAACAATGATTCTTCTACGTAGAATATGCGAATAGATATGTTAGGTTCATATAGACATACTTAGATTCAGGTTAGAGGCACTTAGATGTGGCTTACGCGTAAGACTTCCACTGCGATATTTCTTTTTCTTCAATTTTCCATGTAGTTGAGAATCGGATAAATCCAAGTCATTATCAATGCTACCAATAACTTCAGATAAAATAAGATTGGTTATGTGGTCCGGTAAAACGCCTATATTTTCAGCATTTTCTATCAAAATCTAAAAACCAAATCAATGTCTCATAACATTCATTTATTTTTTGATATAATGAAAATTTTAAGAAATTTAATATTACCTTGACAATAATTAAATGCAATTCGAGTCTACTTTGAACAGCTACCATAGTAGCTTCTCTCAAAGGCATGATATTAGGACCGATAACTTTGGCTAAATTATCAATGTTCATTTTGTTCTGTTTCTCATAGAGAGATACTTTCTTAAAAAATTCCATTATGAAAGCTAAAGTATTTAAATGATAAGGTGGTAACAATACGCAAGCCAATAACAATGCTTGAACTTTGTGGTTTTTTAACATTGCACAGTGTAAAAATAAATCATGATACGTATATGGTATAAGTGGTTCCGGTAAGTCTCTGAAGAATGTTTTTAAACAATTGGCTACATCGATGGCATGATTTTTCTCTCCTAATGAAGAACCTTTATCCAATAATGCCATTAATTCTTTTTGTCTTATGTGAGATCCAGCTTTTCTGAATAAACCTTCTTGAGTAACATGTTTTTCAAGAAATGCAGATGCTTGACTAACAAATACAGGCACATGAACAATGCCACCGGATGATAAATTAACAACGTCTAATGGTTGATAAGACAAAGGTGTACGAAAAACTTTCTTAGAAATATTTTTACTTCTTTCAAATTTATCCGGCTTAATGGCATTCTTTTTAAAACGATACTTAACCCCAATGTTTCTAAGATCGTTGATAACGATTTCATACACTTTTTCTTTATGTAAAACATCATAAATCAGCATATTTAACGTTGAGGTTATTTTTTAATTATTACGCACTAAAATATATTATTAACTTTTAACACATAAATATATAAATATATATTTTTCTATTTTTACATTTTATCACTACTATTTTGTACGAGTCGGTAGAGATAAACAGTTTGAGAAATTGTTCGAAATGAACGTAGTTGCAAGATTACAAAAATATTTTTTGTATTTCTCACTTCTTAAAAAATATATTAAGAAATAAATATTTTTATTCAATGTATAATTCCAATTTATTAACAATTATACTAAATAATTATAATCTGTTAAAATAAATTAAGAAAGTAAAAATAATCTTTTCAATGTAACTATGAAAATTGAACCGAAGTTGTCGCTTATCGAATGAATTACATAGCGCCATCACTGCCATCTACATTATCGCGCGAGAAACTCCCGTTACGTATTACATTCAAATTGAAAATATTTATAGCAAAAGAAAATAAATTCTTTAATTTAAAAATAATATATAACAAATATTAATAATTTTCTGCATTTTCTCTTTTTATTGTAATTTATTATTGAAGAATTGATAAAAGGTTGATAGACATCTTACTTTTTAATAATTTTGTCAGTAATTTAATAAATTGCTTATCATTTGTTTCTTTCTAAACAATGAACTAACAACATTCAATTTTTTATCCGTTAACTTTCTTCGTAAATAAATTTACTTATATACGTCCTTTGAAAACGTTACATAAAATACAATTAGTTAAAACGTTTAACAACGATCTTAGAAGAGTTTATACAATCGTTAATTTATCGTACGGTAATTGAATAGTTTTCTTATAATTATCCTCACAAAAGAAAATAAGTTTACTATTAAGAAGAATAATAATGCATTTGCCAGAGAACGATTTCAATAGTTTCATGCGCAAGACAAGCTGCAAATCGATACTTATATATTGCGAACTATATACATGATGCTCTGCACATGCTGCTTGCAATCTTCTATATGTGAGACTAGAGGGACAGATCTAACTTTAGCAACAGTCTCTTTACCGAAATATCGCTTCTACTTAGAAAAATAATTACACTTGTTTGCCTATTATTAGTATTAAAATTATTTATTTAAAAAAACCACTAGATTATATTAAAAAAAACATACAAGTTTAACATACATATTCCTATGAATTGTATGACATAACTAAACGTTATTTCCAGATATCAGTTGTACAAGACCAAATATGCAGTCTTTAAAATTATCATCTGGTCATAATATGCCTACAGTAGGTTTAGGAACATGGCAGGTGATTAAACAGTTGTATTTTATACAATTTTCTTAATGTATATTTATATAAAGATTTGCAATTAATATTAATAGAATGAATATTATTTTATCAAGTTAAATAATATTTAATCAAGTTATCTTTTATTACTTTCATAAGGCTAAACCTGAAGAAATTGAAGCTGCTGTTGGAACCGCTTTAGAATGTGGTTACAGACATATCGATACTGCATTTAATTATAATAATGAAGAAGCAATTGGAAGAAGTATAAAAAATTGGCTTAACAAAGGTGGCAAACGGGAAGAACTCTTTGTTACATCAAAGGTAATACGATTGTATGTGAAAAGAATTTTATATTATTTAATAATTGTATTATATTATTGTTTGAACAAATATTAGGTATTGTTTATTTTGTTATAGTTGCCCCATTTTGGTAATAGACCATCAGACGTAGAAAAATTTCTTAAATTATCATTGGAACGTCTTGGATTGGATTATTTGGATATGTATTTGATTCACATGCCATTTGCCTTTGCATTAGATAAAAATTCCTATGTTCCTGCAGCTCGAGAAGATGGTAGTTATATACTTGATTTAGATACAGATCCAGTTTCCGTATGGAAGGTATATAATAATTTGTGTAATTTATATTATAGATATAAATGTTTCTTCATCTGCTTAGAATAATAATATTATAATCATTGAACATTTTTAGGAAATGGAACAACAAGTAACAAAAGGTCTTGCCAAATCTATAGGCATAAGTAATTTTAACGAAGCACAAATATTAGAAGTATATAAAAATGCAAAAATAAAACCGAGCAACTTACAGGTATAAAGTTCATTAATGTCATACTTACAATAAAATTATGGTCAGAAAAATCAATTAATATATATATATTTTTTTTATAACAGGTTGAATTGCATGCATATTTGCAACAGAAATCGCTAAGAGAATTATGTCAAAAGCACAATATTATTGTAACAGCTTACAGTCCATTAGCATCGCCTGGAGCTAAATTCCATTTTCAAACAAAATATAATTATAGTCCGGATAAATTCCCTGATCTTCTTGGACATCCTGCTGTACTTGAAATGGCTAATAAATATAAAAAAACACCAGCACAAGTGTTATTACGACATTTGGTACAACAAGGAATTGTTGTTATTCCAAAGAGTTCATCGCCGGATAGAATTAAATCCAATATTGATATTTTTGACTTCGTTATAACAGATGACGATATAAATATTTTAAATAATTTAGACAAAGGTACAGACGGCCGAATATTTAACTTCTTGTTTTTCAAAGGGTAAGTAATAAAAATTACTATTAGTAATCTTTTAATATTTTCTTATTTAAAATAATTTATGCATAATATATTTTCTTTGTATACATATATATATATATTTTCCTTTTTTTAGGGTTGAAAAGCACCCACATTATCCATTTAAAAATGAGTTGTCACAATGAGCAAAGGATTTGTTTTGCTAAATAATTTAAGAATACAGAATTATATATCAAAAGTAAAAAAAGAGAAGTTAAGTTGTATGATCGAGTACTAAAACTTATATGCACAAAATTAATTATCTAATGAAGAGAAGAAAAGTTTTTTTCTTATATTTTAATATAACCTGTACAACATTTTTCGTTGCATTCGATGCTGAAGTTCACCACGACGTATCATTGTGTGTATAACTTTGTAAATGGCACGTTCTGGATATTTTTGTTTAAGAAAGTCATTAACGATGTTTTGTTCAGAAACTTGATTTCCTATTGGAAATCGATTTTTTAATTGTTTTTCAAGGCGAGACAATATCTCATGATCTTCTTCTGAAGTAAATCCTTCTGCGCCTGTAAAACATAATTTATTGATATTACAAACATACGTATTATAAAATTAATTTAATGATTTTTCAATCAATAATTTATTAATATTTGTTATATATTTATATATCTTACCAGCTAATGAACCAGACATAGCTGCATCTAATGTAGAAACTTGAAATAGTCTAAGTGCTTCGTTAACATGAATTTCAGTAGCAAAAGGTTGAAGTTGCATTTTTGCTAAAGCTTCAGAAATTCTTATAATGGCTTCTAATTGACGAACGGTTATTGGTATAGATAATCGCTTTTCACTTCCTTTTTCATGTTCTCCTGTACTAGCACGCATTCTCACATAATGATTTTTCAGTTTTTCACCTGCTTCTTTATTTAGTCTTGGACCACATTTCCTAAGGAAAATAATACATAATTATATTTACATGTAAATTTATATTATACTAACAAACAAAAATACAGTAAAAACCTAATCTTACAATCTGCAATAATTTATGTATCTTTTGAGTACATTTAACGGAAGTTCTCCTTCGATTAATTCTTCAGTCAATTGACCAGCATTACTATGTATATTCATAACGTGTTTTGCCAATGTAATATCTCTATTTTCTTCGTGTTCATCTTTAACAATGAATATCATATCAAAACGAGAAAGAATAGTTGGCATAAAATCTATATTTTCTTCGCCTTTGATATCATCCCATCGACCAAAAATAGAATTAGCAGCTGCTAGTACGGAACATCTTGTATTTAAAGTTGTTGTTATGCCTGCTTTTGCAATTGATATAGTTTGTTGTTCCATTGCTTCATGTATAGCAACACGATCATCCTCTTTCATTTTGTCAAATTCGTCTATGCATACAACACCACCATCTGCCAATACCATTGCACCACCTTCCATCACAAAATTTCTCTGCAAATGATCAAAATAACTATTAAAGCAAATGGAAACAAACAAATAAAAGTACTTAAATTATTGATTCTTACTGTAATAGAATCTCGCGTTACAGAAGCAGTAAGACCAGCAGCAGAGCTTCCTTTACCAGATGTATACACACCGATCGGTGCAACTGTTTCTGCAAATTTTAATAATTGTGATTTAGCAGTACCTGGATCACCAAGCATTAACACATTGATATCTCCTCTACGACATAAACCATCAGGCATTCTTTTTCTAGAACCACCAAATAATAAACACGCGATTGCTTTCTTAATATCCATTGCACCAAAGATACTTGGCGCAATACTTTTTGCTATTCTTTCGTATAAATTTGGATCGGCTGCTAATCGTCTGAACAAATCTTCATCATCCGATGTAATGCATGATTGTAAACCTGAAAAACCACGTATAATTATTTAGTGAGAAAAGAGTTTAAAAGTAAAAAAAAAAAAATGTAAATTATAACGTAGATTAAGATTTTTTGATAATAATAATAATAACAGATTTTACCACTTCCTGTGTTTTCTCCATCAACAAAAATACCCACAACTCGTATATAAGGTGCTCGTACACCAACCAAAGCTTTATCTTTCCTGTTTCCTTTATCGCCTGTTTTAGCTACTTTTTTAATGGAATATATACCAAGAATAAGAACTCTATTTCCAGGTACAACTCTATCACATAAATAACGATCGCAATATAATTGCAAATGTCTTGGCATTTCACCCTGTGGAATGTGTTCTGGTAATTCTTGTAATTTTAAAACTTGAAAGTCAACGCATTTACATTTATCTGGCATTATAAAAAATGGATCCAATGGGCATTTTGGTCTACCAGCTTGTTCTCTAAAATATAATATTTACGTTATTTAAGATAAGTTTTTATTAGAATGCAAAATTTAAGAGATAATATTGTTTTCTTAGAATACATACGTATTACATTTTCTTGGTAAAGCGTAGCCCTCTAATCCTGGCTTAATGGAAATGTTAGTTTGCACGACTCTACATGAACGACATTGTATTGCAATTTTGGTTGCTTTAGATCTGATACCAGAAGCAGAAATAATAATGCCAGGAATTTTAATAAGTTTCGATACGATGTCTGGCTATAAGGATATCAAATATTTTTAATATATATTTATTATTTCATGTTAGAAATAATAACAAAATATTAGTCATTATTTTAAAAATAATTCATTACCTTCATGCCTCTTAAAGAACTTGGATGCGCATCTGATGATAAAAGTATTTGTATATCTTCCACTTTTTCTTCGCCCTGAGGACGAGGAGCTGTAACCTCATCGGCAACATCTTGTGCAGCTTCTTCTAAGATTGAAAGATATTCCGTTGGAAGTTTCTGAATTTTTTCAGCAAGCGATTCATCAAAAGCTGCCAAATCTTCTAAATTGATTTCAAGGTAGTATTGACCAAGATTGTAATTTCTTTTAAGAGTATCTCTAACATAAAAATGAATAAATTGTAATAATAATATATACATTGATGTGACATTTAATAAATTATTAATATATATAATTAAGATAATTATTTATAAAAATAATAGTATAAATTATTTACCGGTATTTGTAATTAAAATTGCCTTCGTGAAATTGTCTAATAAATTCTTTGAATTTCTTTTTAGATGCTTGTAAATTACCTTGAACCTCGGATGCCTCGTTAACAGAAAAATTATCAGAAAAAAATATACCTGGATTATCAAAACCTTCCATATTATTTGTTATTTAATATCTCTTATGGTTAGAAATAAATTGCAACAGGCATTTGCCGCTATAAATTTGGAGGGAAAATTATTAATTTTTTGTCCAATCCGCGTTAATTGCATACATAGTACCAGAAAAATAGTATAGATCTCGCTTCAGAAGTTACTTGTGTAGAGGGTTTCTCTAGAGTAAAATAATATTAGACTGAACTTTCTTTAGAACCACCGTGCATTCAGTGATCCCATTCGTACGATAATTTGAAGGTGAATTTGAAAATCTAATTAGAAAAATTCAACAAATTCAAAATTTTTCCTGTGCGTACGATAATTTTCCGATGTGTACGATAATTTTACGCCCTTGTGTCGATCAGACGAACTAAAGTCTCAGGGATCACTGCGTGCATTCAACGTTGAGCATTATGCCGCATAAAGCGCTTTAGTACTGTAATTGGAAAACCACATCTGTCTTTAGATCTCGTGAGAGTAAATTGAGGCCTTTTCGTTGTTAGTTCTCTCGAGAAGACCTAATTTCATATTGTCTATTGAAATAATATTGTTGTGTTGCTTTTTATTGTAAAACTTCACAAATAATTAAGAAATCAAGATGATAAGTGTAGAAATTTGTACTGGAAGATCCATTAAGCAAATATTTGTTAGCAATGTATTGCTTTCAGTCAACGAGATCTGGGAACGTTTTGAAGTTATAACTGTAAGTATAACATCCAAACTCTAACCTTAAAACTTTTTGCGTATTTATTTATTTTCCACTCTTTTATATCTAAATTGTAAGTAAATTATAACAACTTTTAATAAATGTGATATTTTTTATTGTTACAGGGTGCATCAAAAGAGAATTTTTATGTAATTCAAAATGGCCGAACTATTGGGAAAAATGATAAACTTTTGGATGGCCGTGCAACTATTGTTCCCAAATTATTTGGAGGAAAAGGTGGCTTTGGCTCCATGTTACGAGCCATTGGTGCACAAATAGAAAAAACTACAAATCGTGAAGCTTGCAGAGATTTGAGTGGACGTAGATTGAGAGATATTAACGAAGAGAAAAGGCTCAAATCTTGGATCGAAAAGCAAGCTGAACATAAAAAGGAAGCAGCTGAGCGTAGAAAAAAGAAGTTGGAAAGACTTTGTGCGGAACCGAAATATGAGTTCAAAGATCAAAATTATGAAAAGAGAAGATCAACCGTGTCTGAAATGATTGAGGAGGCAGTAGAAGAAGGATTCAAATGCGTTGCTGCTGATTCTTCAACTATGAAAAGGAAGCGCGAAGAAGAAGAAGTTAAGAGTAATAAGAAGAAAAACATCTTTTATTTAGATATTGATTCAGATGAACTTGATACTACTACAGATGATGATAGTGATGTGGAAGATTGTACACCATCGACATCTACATCTGATCAACAAATATCTAGTAATAGACTTTCTATCGAAGAGACCGATAATGACAATGACAAATTAAAACAAACGAAAGTTTCAGATTCAATTGCTTCTGAAACTGTTAATGCACAGATTGATAATTCAGTAGAAAATTCTAAAGATAAAATTAAAGATACTGAAAACGTAAATGGACATACTGATATTTCAGTAGAAAATTCTGAAGATAAAATGGAAGATACTGAAAACGTAAATTCACATACTGATATTTCAGTAGAAAATTCTAAAGGTAGAATTGAAAATACTGAAAATGTAAACGTAGATAATAAGAGTAAAACTACCAATGCAGTTTTGATATAATAAGAAGTTAAGAGTAACAAGAAGAGAAACATCTTTTATTTAGATATTGATTCAGATGAGCTCGATATTACTACAGATGATAATAGTGATATAGAAGATTGTACACCATCGACATCTACATCTGATCAACAAATATCTAGTAATAGATTTTCTATCGAAGAAACCGATAATGACAATGACAAATTAAAACAAACGAAAGTTTACGATACAATTGCTTCTGAAACTGTTAATGCACAGATTGATAATTCAGTAGAAAATTCTAAAGATAAAATTAAAGATACTGGAAACGTAAATGGACATGATGATATTTCAGTAGAAAATTGTAAATATAAAATTGAAGATACTGAAAATGTAAACGTAGATAATAAGAGTAAAACTAACAATGCAGTTTTGATATAATAATAAATAATCTAATTGAATAGATTTCTACTTTATAGTAGTGTAATATAAATTCTATTCATTTTTACTTGATTAGTAAAATAGATATTGTATTTTTTGTTTTTATTTGTTTTATATAAAGTTAACTTCATATTTTTCAATTTTTTTATTATATTACTGCATTATATTCATTTATTAGTTACACACACACACACACATAATTTACTATATTATGTATTACAAATTTGTGATAAACTTATTAGTTGTATTGTATTCATTTACTAGTCATGTAATTTACTATATTATGTATTACAAATTTGTGATAAGCTTATTAGTTTAATGTTCAACTTATAATACATGATATACATGATGTCCTAAGAGTCGTTTTATGGAACAGGAAAGATTAAACATTATTTTTTGGATGGTACTTAAATTGGTGCCTATTTGTATGCTCATACTTTTTCAATAATTAATCAATATTGATTTTTTCTTTAAAATTATTTTTCTTGATAAAATGACATTTAGGACATTGTTTATAATTTGACAAAAATATTGTTTTTATAATACCAATGAATACACAAATATATACTTGTATATAAACACAATATAAAATTATTATAAATCTATGTATTAGTCATATCATTAAAATAATAATTAGAATGAAAAATAAGTGGAAGTTTTGATATATAGAATTCTCTAGTAAGTTGTATACCAATCGCAAATAATGTTACTGATGTTACTACTGATTTCAAAAAGTCATCCGCAAGAATGTTCTTACGGGTACACTGATATAGGTCCAATATATATTTGGTACTAATGAGAATAAAATTATCATTTCTTCCGCATACTTCTTGAATTTTTGACGATGTTTCATCTAAATATTTACATTAGAACATAATGTAATAAACTAATTAAACAATAGGAGATTTATTGTATTAATAATAAAATGTATGTTACTCACTTTCTGAAAAGAATTTTTGGCATTTATGAGCGTAAGGGCTGTTACAACAAATTCTTTTATGAGACGTCTAAGAATTGTAATTAATTATTTTACATAGATACAATATGCATATACATATACTTATATAATTCAAATATTTACCATTGTGTTTAATAAATTCTTGTTTTATATAATAATATTTATATTATTTAGAATTTCCTTCCCGACGAACAAAAACGAATAAATTGAAATTTCATTCTTCGAGATCATTTTTGTAATTTATTTGAGAAAACCTTTTTCCATTTTCAAATACGTTTATTTTATTGACGTTTGACAAGAAGAAATATTTAATGATCTTCGCTTGTTTGATTAATATCTGATATTAAGATATAATAATTGATATGTTATGAAAATATATAGTACATTTATATTGCAAAGTATAATATTCGATTTTATGGAATAGCAAAAGGAAACAAAAGTTGTTAAATTTGTAAATACAAAATTAAAAAACGTATAATAGTAATTTATAGGTAATATAATTGACACTTAATAGTAACATTTATTTATTACATCGATAAGATGCAAGTGAAACAGAAGTCAAATAGCATTTCATACTAAAGTTTTTGTTCAAAAGACCATTTGCATTTAGAATCGAAGTATCACATTTTCAAAGAATTCTTTTTGCGTATCGAAGCTCTATCAACTTTACAAAAAAATCGTATTAAGGTAAGAATGATTAAAATGCATTTCAATAGAAAGATTTCGTAGAAAATATTAATAAACAATTTATGTATTTTTTAAATTGTTTTAGACAATGTTACTTCTAATTTTACTCTCGTTTAGTCTTCACATTCATTTGATTGATTCATCGGATGGTATGCAAATTGTTATTAATAATAATAGTAATAAAGAAATAAAATATTTGAAACTATTCAATAATTATAATTCTGATTAACAGTTGATGTGATGAATCATTTGAATTGGTCACTCCTAGATCATGACAAATGTGGCAATTCCAATGCAGATCGTATAATAGGTGGTAAAAACGCAAGTATGGGTGCATATCCGTGGATTGCGAGAATAGGATATTCTATATCTAAATCTAATCTGGTTAATATTAAACAATTAGTTTATAAATGCGGTGGTTCCTTGATTAACAAATATCACGTCTTAACAGCAGCGCATTGCGTGACAAATTTACCGAATTGGTAAATTATTTGATTATACAATTATTTAATTATCATTTTAATTATTTTACAAATCTTATAACTTATACATTTTTCTTTTATGATTTCATGTATCATTAATTTTATTTACTTCAATGATGTAAAAAGGCTGACTATTGTTAGCATTCGATTAGGGGAACACAATACATTGACGGATCCAGATTGCGAAGAAGAATTTTGTGCTGAACCAGTTCAAGATTTTCAAATAGCATTTATCAATGTTCATGAAGATTATGATCGTCCGAGATTTAGAAATGACATAGCAATCATACGTTTAGATAAACCTGCTGTTTACAATGGTAAGTAAAATGACATTTGATTAAATGATTTCACTATTTATATCAAATTTAATTTTATATTATCTAACGTTATTATATTCGTATAGAGTTTGTAATACCGATTTGCATGCCACACGGTAATTTGCTTGAGAAAAATTATATCGGTGAAATGGCGATAGTTGCTGGTTGGGGAATAAACGATATTGGTAAAGATATTTTGTTCTTTTTTCTGGTTTTCTTTCTTCTAATTCGAAAACTTTATTGACAGAGACATTGAGAAGCAGTAAATTGCTTCAAACGGTTATGATGCCGATCCAAGATACTGAGAAATGTATAGAAAGTTATAAAAACCGTGCTAAAATAAGTGATCAACAAATATGCGTTGGGGGTATTATTGGTGAAGATTCCTGCAACGGGGATAGCGGTGGACCTTTGATGAAAGTTGAAACTGTTGACGAATTACCAAAATATTATCTCATTGGAATAGTTTCATTTGGGGTAAAAGAATGTGGTAATACAACAAGTCCAGGTGTTTACACTAGAGTATCACGTTACATTAACTGGATACTTAACAATATTAATTTATAAAAAGTCCATATAATGATATACATTAATACATTTCTTTTTAACTATGACATAATAAAACGGAATAAAAGAAAAATTCATAAGGAAAGTTGTATTTATTATGAGTTTGCTATTCAAATATCCAGAAAATTTGCATAATTAATTCATTCGGTAAAAAGTCCATGCCCAGTCATTGAAATTTTTTTTTTAAATTACAAAGAAAAATATATAGCGGGAAATTACAAATATTCTAATCTAGAACGAGTACACACACACACACACACAAACATATATATATATTTACACATGACGTAGCAACAATTTATGAAATTATAAAAGATAGTATCTTAAATAATTAAATATATATATGTAATAACAAAAATGATTATAGCATAAATTTATATATATGTATCATAATATAATTATTTATTAAATTCTAAAAACAAAAATAAAAATGTAGTTTTCAGTTCGTGTAATGAGAAAAACTTTATTAATATTAATTATGAAAGAATTCTTGTTCGTTTAGTTGCCTGCAATTTTAGAGGATATTAACCAAATTCGAAGTAGGAAATATTGTCAGAAATTGAGAAAACGTATGATACGTAAATATAGCCTCAGGCAATTTAGTTGGAAATATAAATGCAATAGTGGGGAGGGACAGTAGTTGACCATGACTTCGGTCACACTATCATTTGCGATGTCAGTTGATGCCCGGGACGGCAAGCTTAACGACGAGATCCACAATTAATCCAAGTTATTCGTAAAGACACGGAATACATTGTTTGCTTTTAATTGTTTAATAAAGATCCGATATTAAGGATGTATTTATTTGTCACTGTGATTACTATACTTTACTTATCAACGTATAATATCGGAGATGCACGTAAGTAATTGAATATTTTCTATTTTTATTCATTTCTTTTGTTTGGTTTATCAAAAGAATCGTTATAACAAATATTTGTATTGATATATTCACATTAGACGTTAAAATAAAATAATTACAAACAAGTATGCGCGTTATTTGTCGATTAAAAAGAAAATTTTTATATTTTTTAATGCGTTAAATAAAATCAAAATTATTATTATTATTATTATTATTATTATTATTATAACGTTTAAGAATGCAAAATAAAAATATTAATCTGAAAAGATGGCGAAATCAGCATTCCGTTTATGAAGTCATCAATGCTAACAATTTCCAATAACATATACAATCTTATTTTAATGATTACATATGTGTATTTGTACACATTAAATTCTAATATGTTTGACAGATTTAAATAATTTATCATGATTTCTTATTTTTTCCTTAACTAATAGTTGCGAATACAAAGCCGGATACGATGAAAATAATTTTGTGGAAAAATTCCGTAGTAATTAAAACGTTATATACAATATTATCTATTTCAATCTTGTTCGATATATTACGTGTAGTCGGATTTATGTGAATATTATTTGATTTTATTTATATTACTTGTCAGAACGATATATTATAAATTACGATGATGTCAGTTAGGTCATATTTCGAATCTTTAATAACTGATTCTACGTATGCACATTATCATCATTAAGATTATTATAAAGAATACAAAAAGTACATTGGGGAATTCTAGATTTTTTTTTTGGGAAAGTTATCTCAAATGTGTTTTATTTTATATTTTGTCGTAGAATCATTCGATTGTACTACACCAAATGGAGTTGCTGGAAGTTGTATTAACATACGTCAGTGTATACCGTTAATAAAATTGTTGCAAAACAGGCCTCTTCTCCCAGAAAGTGAGAATTATTTAAGACAATCTCAATGCGGTTTTGAAGGCCAAAATCCACGAGTATGTTGTCCCGCCGGATCAAATCAAATTGATTTACCATCTTCTCGAGATAACATACCATCTACAGATAACCCATTGGAAACTGGAAACAAGGCAGAATTAATCGACAATTTACTCAATAATCCTTTGTTACCAAGCGAATGCGGTAAAGATTTGATATTTCGAATTATTGGAGGAACGCCTACTGCCCTTGAAGAATTTCCATGGATGGCTTTGTTGGAATATCAACATCGTAAGTAATTATTTAATTAATTCAATTTATTATCAAATATTATTTTAAAAATAAAGCATGTATTCAGATAAAAATTTTGAGGAGAAGAAAGATGTTGATCTTTCTTTATAATAATAATTATTTTTTTTTTTTTAGCAAGAGGACACACCACTGCGTGCGGAGGAGTTCTCATTAGTAAACGTTACGTGCTAACTGCAGCACATTGTTTAAAGGGAAAAGATTTACCTTCAACGTGGTCGTTAAGAAACGTACGATTAGGCGAATACGATACTAGTTCTGAACAAGATTGCATTACATCCAACGACGTAGTTATATGCTCCGATGACCCGATTACGGTTGGAATTGAAGAACAAATTGTACATGAACAATACAATCCAAGATCGAGAGATCAGAAATATGACATTGCAATGTTGAGATTGTCAAGAGACATTAATTCGACTAATTATATTAAGCCTATTTGTTTGCCACGATCGGAATCGTTGGACGGTCAATTGTTCGTAGCTGGTTGGGGTACAACCGAGTTCAATTCATCGTCAAACATTAAACTTAAATTATCGTTGCCATTGGCCGAAAAGGATAATTGCGCTAGGACATATAATCAAGTTAATATTAAACTTGGTTATGGACAAATCTGTGCAGGTGGTACTAAAGGTAAAGATTCGTGCAGAGGAGATTCTGGTGGACCACTCGTAACCCGTATACCTACACTTGGTGGTGCTGAATTATGGACAACTGTAGGAGTCGTATCCTTTGGTCCAACACCTTGCGGTTTGCAAGGTTGGCCTGGCGTTTATACCAAAGTTTATGATTATGTTCCATGGATAGTCGGTAACTTAAAACCATAAGATAACCATGGTCAACATTTGTTTTGCCATGTTGTGACTTCGTATCATTTATAATTTTTTTTTTTCGTCTTACCTTTTTCCTCCTTGATAAATGACGTACTTAAGTTAAATTGATGAATAATTCGAAATAACTAATGTTAAGTATGAGAAGTTATTTTTTTACAAGAAATTATTTAATAAATATTTGAAGAAAATTATAGAAGAAAAAATAACTGCCAGAATATAATAGATCAACAGAGGCAACTATTAGTATATTACATACCTAGGGCGGTAAAGTAAGAAATGTTTCAGAGCACATGTAATGTCCGAGGCGAAGCCGAGGTCAATAAACATGTGCTCTGAGGTTTTCTTATTTATTGCCCATGGTGTGTATACTTTTTTTCTGTTCGACGTAGGCGGAAAGCGGCAACTTCGTTTTGCACAGCGGGCGGAAAGTTGACACTTTCCGCACGGAGTGGTGACAAATTAATTATATAAGAACTTATGCTTAAAACTGTAGCATTTACTGTAATCTTATTATATATATATTTTATTATTATATTATTATTATTATTATTATATTAATCCTTCTTTTATAATTTAAGGAATAATTCATATTGTTTCTATTGATTTCAAAAGAAGAAAAATTCGTTCCTTTTTTATTTTTATTTTTTTCGTAAGTATAATATGATATTTTTATTTATTTATTATCTCCTATATATACGAACTTATAAATGAACAATAGTAAGCATTCATTGTAAACCGACGTTGTTAACGGTACATTTCCATATTTTATAGTTCAATTTTAAGTCATACAAAATATTGATAGTAAAGTAAAATCATTGATGATGATAATTAAAAATGTATTCGGTTTCTTCGTCATTATTAATGCCAGTTGATTCTCGGATTTTCCCACTGTTACGAAATCTGTAGTCCATTCCGACGTCATTTGATGTATGACAAGAAACAATAATCACTCGTAAAATTTTAATAATTAGACATATGCGTAATAAAAAAAAAGATGTAATAACAACACACAGTTTTAAGATCTTGTAACGAGGAAAACTTAATAATAATCATGGGGAAAATCTTGTTCGCTTCGTTGCATAGATTGTTCGAATAGATGAGTCGAAATCAAAATAAAAAAAATATAGTTAAAGAAGTTGAGAAACCATATAATACGCAAAACACATACACACACACACAGACTCAGGTAATTTAGTCGTAAATATCAATGTCAGTAGTGGGGGACAGTAGTTGACCATGGATACGATTTCACTATCATTTCTGATGCCAGTCGATGCTCAGACTTCTTCGTAGACATGTAATTCGTTATTTGTTTTTAATCGTTTGACAAAAATTCGATATTAAGGATGTATTTATTTTTTTCCATTGTTGTTATCTTTTATGTATCTTCGTTTAGTATTGTCGATGCACGTAAGTAATTAAATATTTGCAATTTTTATTCGTATCTTCGTTGAGATTATGAAATGATTCGTTAACACTTGAATTCTTGTAATTTAAATTTAATTCATAACGTTGGAAAAAAAAAGCAACAACTAAGTATAGTAATATTTTATTTTATTTAAATTATATAATACGTTCGAAGAGAATATCGTACATTGCGATGATGTAAACAACGTTATAATTCGAATTTATATATGAATATAATATATTATTATAAAAAAATATGAAAAGAAGATTAGAGAAGATTTTGATTTCTTGAAATATTATAAAAGATATTTTTTATTCGTAGAAAATTTAAAATCACGCGATTGCAATACACCAAATGGAACTGTTGGAAGTTGTATCAGTATAAGTGAGTGTATGTCATTGGCAGTAATGCTCCAAGAGAAACCTGTTCGATCCGAAACTATAGAATATTTGAAACGATCAAATTGTGGATTTGAAGGTCACGATCCTCATGTATGCTGTCCTACTGAATCTAATTTGAACAATCCATTTTTTACTCCGGTCAACTTCCCATCTACAAAAGTTCAAAATAGTACATTGGAGAATATGAATAATAATAATGACCCTATCATCAGTTTACTTGATAATCCTTTACTATCAAGAGAATGCGGCCGTGATTCGATAGCTCGAAATTTGGAAGTACGAGATACCGCCCTTGACGAGTTTCCATGGTTGGCTCTATTGGAATATGATGATGGTGAGCATTATTTTATATTATTCGAAAATCCATTTAATAATGAATCTAAATGCTTATTATGCAAATAAAATTGTATATAAAGATTTTGCATTTTGCAAAATAAATTGATTTCAACAAATCTTTAATTAAATATATTATTATTATATATATAAATTAAAAAAATTTCTAAAATTTTATATATTTTTCTAATAATTTTGTTCAGGTAGCAAAACAACATTTGCTTGTTTAGGAGTTCTTATTACGAAACGTTACGTGCTTACAGCAGCTCATTGCTTATTACATCAACGAATTGGGATATTGTCAAACGTACGATTAGGCGAGTACGATATTAGTTCATCAAAGGATTGTGTTAAACATAATGATGTAGTTACATGCTCCGATGATCCGATTACAGTTAAAATCGAGAAACAAATACCACATGAATTATACGTACGAAGATCCGATAATAATGAATATGATATCGGATTATTGCGATTATCAAGAGACATAGTTTCGACTAATTACATTAAGCCTATTTGTTTGCCTAGATCTTCTACAGTAAATAGAAGATTGTATACAGCTGGTTGGGGTGCTACTTTGACCAATGCATCATCTGATGTCAAACTTAAAGTTTCGTTACCACTCGTTGACAAAGATGATTGTGCTAGAATTTATAAAAAACCTAATGTCACATTTAATTTCAAACAAATTTGTGCTGGTGGTGAAACAGATAAATCTTTATGTAGCGGTGATGCCGGTGGACCACTTATGGGTTTTCAAGATTTATCAAATGGTGATAGAATATGGACAGTAGAAGGAATTGTGTCTTATGGTACTGTACCTTGTGGTATACCAGGTTGGCCTGGTATTTATACAAAAGTTTTCGATTTTATTCCATGGATAATTAATAATATAAGACTTTGAAAATATTTTTTTATTTATAGACAATTATTTAAAATTTGTGTATTTTAATAATATTCACTTTGTACAGATTGTTATATTATTTGTTTTTGTTAATTTAAGTAATTATAAAATAATTGTTATACTGTCTTTGAAGAAATAATTATTTCTTCATTTTTTTTTTTTTACTATTTTTTATAGAATTAAACATTGTTCATTCATATTGTTCCTAATATAAAAATAATAAATTGTGAGAAAATTGTATATACATATTTAAAAAGCATTAAAGATAATTAATTCATGTATTTAAGATTATTGTTCAATTTAGAATGTCAATAAAAATGTTAGAAAGAAGAAAAATAATAATACAACTTATTTTACACTTATGAAAATCATTGATATTCTTCAAATTATTTACTTTATTCTCAGTATTGTATGTTTATTTAATCATTGCTTGAAATATTATATGTTAATTTGGAATGATATATATGATATAATCCTTGCTAGAACTTGAGAATTTCTGCATTTATTTAAATCTGCAATGTTTTTAATCTCACGAATTGAATGTATTTTTTCAACGAAGGTCGTTTGGAAATTTTCAACGAATATAAATAGATCAGTGAGCTAGACAGCTTCATTTCTATCTCGAAAAATAGTACAAATGTTAGTCATAATCAGTTCACGGTTCAGTTTGTTACGCGATGACCTCAGAGGATTTTCCCATTCGGAGAGTCTCTTTCTATTAATTAAGTCATTTTATTTCTTCTTTTACTCGAAGTGATCACAAGACAGTTATTTAAAATAATTACATATATGCATAATAAATAGAATTCATTCTTCAGATAGTCATATAAACAACATTTAACAAAAGAACTTTAACAGAGGACAAGTTGCTAATCTAACGGTGAATTTCGATGAGGATGGTACGTAGATCTTATATTCCGTGCTTGTAGATAACAATAGACATTTGCATTGATAATTGACAATTATTTTAATATTCTAATGCTCTCTACTTATATTACGAGAAAATTTTACCTTCGAAGTCATCGATGCGCAAAAGGATAGAAGAATAAAATAATTACATTAATATGCAAAAAATGCAAAAATTAGAACGTTCTAATGTTAAATTCTATTTATTAGAAATATTATTCCCGTTATATACATGCGCAACGTTAGGAAAGTCATGTAAACAACATTTATCAAAAGAACTTTAACAGAGAGCAATGACCTAGTCTAACAGTGGATTCAGAAGAGGATAGATACATCGGTCTTATACTCGGTGCTTTTAGATAACAATAATCATTTCCTTCGATTAATTATCAGTAATTTAAAATATACTGTACACTTTAATCTACTTTACAAATATCTTGGAACGTTTAAACTGAAATACATTTGTTTAAACGTTTCTAACAAATGCTGACTTTAAATTAAAAATTTTAATACAATAGAATGGCAGATTTCAAATTTTTTAATATTAGAAATATATTGATAAATATACCTTTTTTGTGAACAAATATAATTTATATTATTCTTATCTTAATAAGTATTAAACTTGTTTTGATGCTAACAAATATTTCTATAACAAAGACAATCAAGGATGACAAATGACTAATTTTTAGACATGAAAAAACAGCGTATACTTGGTTTTTATATAAAAAGTTATACCAAAATAAATTATTTTAAGATACAGATCGGTATTTCAGCTTGTGTACAATAAGGACATTCAATGTATGCTTATTCATTATGTTGTATTATATGTTGTATTATTTATTTAACATATGGTTATTCGTATAGTTATGGTTTTAATTTATAAAGATCGAGGAATGAAGAATTGCAAATATATAAATATTATTTAAAAATCAATCTTACGCGTGTATTACAATTAATATTTGTTATGAAAAAAAAGTCTTGTTCGATGAAGAGATGGTTCTTTTCCTAAATTGAGATGAAATCAAAACAGAAAATGTTATCAGTAGTTGTACAGATGCATAATACGTAGATAAATATGGACTCAGAGAATTAAACCCTTGTCCTACGTGCAAAATCCTACAATACTATAGTAAAATGGTCGAATTGCATATAATTAAAAAAATTAATTGCATATAACAAACAATTAAAACAAACAACTCACACACGTGCTTCTTGCTATTGGCCATAGTTTCTTATCATGAGTCAAATTCTTCATTGTAGACCAAGGGGTTAAGTCTGATATATAAAAATGCAAAAGTGGGGAACACAAGTTGATTATGGCTGTGGCCGTACTACCATTTGTGATTCCAGTTATTGTTCGGTTCTTCAGAATTAATGGTGAGATCCATGATCAATCGAATACATTTGTAGGCACAAAATGTATTTTTTGTTTTTGATCGTTTAATGGAGATCCGATATTAAAGATGTATTTATTTTTTTCCGTCTTTACTACGTTTTACGTATCATCGTTTAGTACTATTAATGCACGTGAGTAATTCAATTTTTGTAATTTTTATTCTTACCCTTGTTTTATATATAAAATATATTTGTTAGCACTTAAATCGATGTAATAGAATATAATTTATAAAGGTTATTAAAAGAATTAATCTACAGTATTTAAAAAAATCATAGTATTTTATTGTGAAGTAAATTAATTTTTTAAATTATTTAATAAAAAATTATATTATTACGTAAAATATAAATGTTTTTATTACGATGATATTTTATATTATTCAGATAATATAGTATCTCGGATAAAAATATCATACGTTATGATTATGTAAGCAGCGTAAGTATTCGAATCTTCCGAAAACGACTTTATGTATGAATATATATAATAATATAATATAATATTGTGTATAAAAAAATATTAGAAAATTATGATTTCTTTGAACCTCATAAAATGCATTTTTCTTCCATAGAACATTTAAAATCATCCAATTGTAGTACACCAGATGGAATTGGTGGATATTGTATTAGTATATATCAATGTACACCATTATTAAAAAAACTAGATGAAAAACCTCTTCGTCAAGAAACTATTGACTATATAACAGGATATCATTGTGGATTCGATGGACTAGTTCCACACGTATGCTGCCCTCCTAACATTAATTCGCCTAATCCAAATTTGAATAAACCGTTAGTAACAACTACAGAAACTTCAATTAGCACATTAGAGAATGTAAATAATAATGACGCTATCATCAAGTTGCTCGATAATCCACTGTTACCAAGTGATTGCGGGAGAGATTCGACACCTCGTGATTTAAAATCGGCAAATACTACCCTTGGCGAATTTCCATGGTTGGTATTATTGGAGTATGATAATGGTGAGTATTATTATTCTAGTTTATTATCATCCATAAATCCAGATTTTTTAATAATATGACTAAGAATATTTTATTCAATAAAATTTAATGTAACTATTAACATTTACAAGAGTAATTTATTAACTTAAATGCTAAACAAATCCTGTATTTAAGATATTATTGTCTAAAGGTTCTGTGTATAGTTTTTAATAATCCACATATTTCTGTTATAATTACTTTCAGGTAACAGTACCATATACCCATGCATAGGAGCACTTATTAGTAAACGTTATGTTCTTACTGGAGCTACTTGTTTGATAGAAAGTTCTGTATGGAAATTATCAAGAGTAAGATTAGGAGTGCATGATTTGCGTTCAGCACAGAATTGTGTTAAACATGATGACGTGGATATATGTTCGGATGGTTCAATCAGAGTTGAGATTGAGGAATCATTTATACATGAACTATTCTCACATAAATTAGCAAATAATTATTATGATATCGGATTAATACGTTTATCAAGAGACATTGTTTCGACTTATTATGTTAAGCCTATTTGTTTGCCTAGATCTTCTGTAATCGATAGAAGATTGTACGCAGCTGGTTGGGGTTCAACTTTGACTAGTCTGTTTTCAAATGTTAAGCTTAAAGTTTCGGTACCATTCTTTGACAAAGATTCCTGCAATAGAATTTATAAATTTATGTACAACATAACACTAATCTTTGAGCAAATCTGTGCCGGTGGTGAAAAAGATAGAGATGCATGCTTTGGTGATGGTGGTGGACCACTTATGGATTTTCAGGATTTACCCAATGGTGATAAAATATGGAAAGCTATAGGAATCGTATCCTTTGGTCCTACTACTTGCGGTCATACTAATTTGCCTAGCGTTTATACTAAAGTATATGATTTCATTCCTTGGATAATTAGTAAGATGAGACCTTAGGAAAGAGTATCGTTTATTTGATAAAATTTTTTAACATTTTTCTACTAAAATTGAATCAACTACTCATATATTGGTATATTAATTGTTCGTCTAATTATAGTGATAAATATTTATTGAAGTGAAAACTTTTTTAGAATGGGTGTGATTTGAAAGAATGAAATGCGATGATGTAGTGGGGAAAGGAAACGGACGATACAGTGGGGGAAAGAAACGGTCTTAATACTTAGTAGGAAGAGAAAATGAAACAAACATATAGGATTGAGCCTGCGAGAGAATGAGACAGAGACAGAGACAGAATATAGCTATATAGTTTTTCCTATTTTCGGTCTCCTCTTTATGTTTTGCTTCGTAGTTATTGCTCCCGGTTTTACATGTGTGTTTTTGTGTGCGATTGCATACATGATTTTTTATTTTGGTTTCATATAAAATACTAAATATTATTCTGAAAATATGCATAAATTAAATACAATATAAGAGTTCAATTTTTATCATTATTAATAAAAATATGTGATTTGCAAAAATTTTTTAAAGATTTTTATTATTTATTTTCTTTGTAATTATTATAAAAAAGTTGCGCCTGTATGAATGCAACCCTCCATACACACTTTGAAAATGTTGTTTTCGAGCGCCATCTGTCGGGATAGAATTTTTTCTGCCCAAAAGATAGGCAACCCGTCATACATAAGTGTATAAACAGTTTTGACGGCAAAAAATTCCGTCCCAGTAGTTCGTTCGCAAGCAACATTTCAAAGTTTGTCTGGAGGGTTGCATATGAACTGGCGCGTATTTTTATAATTAGATTAATAATTAAATAAATAATTTCAAATTAAAAGTACAAATAATATTATAATAATATTATATAATAAATTAGGGGTACTTACGTATTAACGTCACCGCAGCAAAAATTCCGCTAATTCGCCAATAAAGAGCAATCTTGTTCACACACAACAACCTTGTTGATTGCACACAGCAATTGTCAGGGTTGCGTCAGGGTTTCGTTAGGGTTATGGCGACAGCATCAGGTGAAAAAGAATAGAGACTGTTTTGAATCTATGTTAAATTCTATATCGGCCCATTTTCCACCGAAATCCGATTGACTACTTTTTGTAAATAAAATGTTTTGAATTTTGAAAGTGTTTTGATTTTAAATAAAGTTTTTTATTCTATGATTTGTCGCAACAATTTAAGGTTTAGATTGGTGCATTAGCATAATTTTCTAAGCATATATATAATGCTTAATAACCAAGTGTGAGAACTACGCAGCATTGCACAGAGATGAAACAAAGATTAAGAAAAATTGTATATTATATTCTATCTCATTCTCTCGTAGGCTAAATGCTATAGATGTATATATGTTTGTCTCTTTTTCTCTTTTCTTAGCTCGCAGAAACTGGTCCGTTTCATCTAGCCATGGAGCTTCCAGTTTCAAATCATCCCGATTCTAAAGAAGTTTTCACTTAAAAAAAAAGGAAAAATATTCAATTTGTAGTTACGTTTTTGAAGAAAAATTTGTTATTAATAATCATGATTAAAATTTCGTCCGTTTTGTTGCATACATTTTTTTAGAAGAGATTAGTCGAAATTGAAATAGAAAATATTGTTAGAAGTCGAAAAAACGTATGATACGTAAACACAGTCTCAAGTAATTTAGTCGGAAATATAAATGCAAAGAGTGGGGGACAGTAGTTGACCGTGGTCTCGGTCACACAATCATCTGTGATACCAGTCGATGCTTGAACTTCTTCGTAAGCACGGAATTTATTATTTGCTTTTAGTCGTTTAACAAAGATTTAATAAAAAGGATGTATTTATTTTTATTCATTGTTGCTATCAGTTACATATTATCGATTAGTATTGTTGATGCACGTAAGTAATTAAATATTTGCTATTTTCACTCGTATTTTCGTTTTAGCTTGCAATAAGATATTTAAACATTTTTATTAGTGTAATTTAATATAATTAATAACGTTTATTAGATAATAAACTTAAAGTATTTTATATATTTTCATTTGATAAATTAATCACTTTATTTTAATATTTACTGAATAAATTTTTTTGCTACTACCCGTAAATGATTAGTTTTATCATTTAAATGTAATATCAAATTATGCTACTATTGTTCCATTTTATTAAGATTACTTACCCGAAAATAATATTATATTTTACGTTGATATAAACTACGCCTTAATTCAAATTTTTCATAATTGATTTATCATATGCATATATATCATTTTCAAAATTATTATATAAAATATTAAAAGATGATTGGAATTTCCGTTTATTTTTTTAAACCGAATAAAATGTGTCTTTTTTTTTGTAGAGCATTTAAAACTTGAATCAAATTGCTTAACACCAAATGGAACTGGTGGAAGCTGTATAAACATACGTCAATGTTTGCCATTGGTAACAATGCTTCAAGAGAAACCTCTTCGTCAAGAAACTATTGACTATTTAAAAAGATCTCAATGCGGTTTAGAAGGTCACGATCCTTGGGTATGCTGTCCTACCGAATTCAATTCAACCGTTTCATCTTCTATTTTGTTGAATAACCCACAAACAAAAGTTCAAAATTGCACATTGGAAAATCTAGATAATAATGATCCCATCATCAGACTACTTAATAATCCTTTGATACCATGTGAATGTGGAAGAGATTCGATACCTCGCGATTTGACAGCTGCAGATACAACTCCTGGTGAATTTCCATGGTTGGTCTTATTGGAATATAAAAATGGTGAGCATTATTATTATTATTATTTTATATTATTCAAAAATCAAAATTTTATCTAAGAATTTCTTATGGGAACAAAAAAAATTAAATATATTGATTCACATTTGTAAAATAATTTCACGTGCATTGAAAATAATGAAATCCCTAATTAAATATCTTTTTATTTAATATTTCATGTTTATAAGATTTATAAATTCACATTTTTCTTTAATAATTTTTTTTAGGAAATGAAACAATACATCACTGCACAGGAACTCTTATTACAAACCGTTATGTTCTAACTGCAGCTCATTGCTTGAATAACATAAACTATGGGAAATTAATAAACGTGAGATTAGGCGAGCACGATCTAAATTCAACTAAGGATTGCGTTAAACGCGATGATGACGTAATTACATGCTCAGATGATCCGATAACAGTTGAGATCGAAGAAACCATCAGTCATGAATTATACCTACAGGTTTCCAGAAATAGGGAATATGACATAGGATTAGTGCGATTATCAAGAGACATAATTTCGACTGATTATGTTAAACCTATTTGTTTACCTAGATCTTCTGTAATCGATAAAAGATTGTACGCAGCTGGTTGGGGTGGAACTTTAACGAGTTCATCTTCAAATGTTAAGCTTAAAGTTTCGTTACCACTCGTTGACAAAGATTCGTGTTATAGAATTTACAGATCAAGATGGAACCTAAAATTAGGTTTTGAACAGATTTGTGCTGGCGGTGAGGAAAATAGAAGTGCGTGTCGCGGTGATTCAGGTGGACCACTAATGACATTTAAAAATTTACCAAATGGTGACAAAATATGGACAGCTGTTGGAATCATATCGTTCAGTGCTTTTCCTTGTGGTTTATCCAGTGGACCTAGTGTTTCTAATAAAGTGTACGATTTCATTCCATGGATAATTAGTAAAATAAGACCTTAACGATGTATATCTTTTATTACATACAAATTTTTTACATTTTTTCTATTCACATAGCATTCACATTATACATGATGATAAATTAATCTTTCGTCATGTTTTAGGAGAAAATCACTTTGTTTTTCTTTTGTAACAACATCAAAACAGTAAAAATAATCCTTATTTTTACAATTTTTAATACCTACAAGTCGACATTGATAATAATTATTATTACCAATATATGAATGAGAATAAACACTCGCTCAACAAATATTAAACAAAGTGAAAAATTTATATATATACTATATTCAAAATGATCCGTGATAACCAATCCATTTCTAAAGGTTATCATTAAAACTAGGAATTATAAAAATATTGAAAAGATAAATAGATGATAGATAATTGACTATAATTCCATTTTATGTTTCACATGTAATGTCGTAAAATTCTTTCCAATCAAATTTAAAAACGAGATACTAATCCATCTATATAATAATTCGCATGATCAAACAACGATTCATAAAATTGTAAAAGACTCTTTCTTAAAAGTTAAATATGGATTACATAAAAAAAAATTATAGCATAAATTATTGGCAATAATTTAATATAAAATTGTTCAACAAAACAAAATGAACATAAAATTTATAGTTCCTCTAACAAGAAAGAACTTGTTGTTACTAATTATGAAGAAATTCTCTTACGTTTCGTTGCATACAATTTTAGTAGATATGCGGAAAAATTGAAACAGTGAATATTATCAGAAATTTATTGATTGCACAATTCGCGGATAAAATCAGAGATAATTAAGGCGGAAATATAAACAAAATAGTGGGAGATACCAGTTGACCATGAGCTCTTCGGCTGTACTGTCATTTGTGATTTCAGTAGTTGTCCGAGACTTTAGTCTTAGTTAATAGATCAGTGGTAAATTAAAAACACTCGTTATCACGAAATGTACTGTTTGTTTTTCGTTCCTTAAGAAAGATAAAATAAAAAGGATGTATTTATTATTTACTGCAGTTGCTACCTTTTATATATCATCGTTTAGCATTGTTAATGCACGTAAGTAAAGAATATATCCTATTTTTATTCTTATTAACGTTTAATTTATGAAAACATTCGTTAAAACTTGAATCGTTGCAATTAAATATAATCTATAACGTTGATAAAAGAATTATATTTGCAGTGTTTGAGATACATAGATTTAAAGAATTATAGTATTGCATTTTTAA